GGGGGGGGGGGGGAGGGAAACATAATAATATTATTATCATTATATCGGTCGTTCGCTGTTACCTCGGTGAATTTGACGTGGCGCAGAGACAAGTAATTTATATTTTGTACGGCCGAGAAAGTATCAGGGAAAAAAAACATTGACAGGTGCCCGCAAAAAGGTCTTCGGTATTATTCACAATAGGTTTTTTCCCTCCATTTTTTTTTTCTATTTCTATAATACTAGTCCTATTATTATACCTACGTTGCTATTATTATATATCTCTTCGTTATATTACAAGCGCTACTACTCCGTCGACGTACGTCTCCCATCGTTTCTCGAGATTATATTATTATTATTATTATTATTATATGAACTACGATATCACACCCGTATACAGTTGTCAGAAATCGTGCGAGTACACCGGAAGTAGGATAAAATAACCGACTGTCATCGGATATAATATCGATATATATATAATACCTATCAATAATAATAACTTACGACACCGTCATTTTTTCCAATTTAAGTTTACCCGGGGACCTATCTGTCGGTATACGTGATGTCTTTATTTTTTTAGGCCGTATGTCCATTTTCGGGATTGTCGTTTAAATTTACATGTATATATATATTATTATATTATATAGTGAGGTTCAGACGACTATTTGAAAAATTGATGCGTCACGTAAACTAAAAGACTGAAGCTTTCATGGAACGGTAAACGATCAAAGTTATATTTTTTTTGCATCTGTGAATTATTTATGTATCTCTAGATATCACATAATTATCACGAAGTCTCAGTTTACATTGTACAATTAATATTTTATTAATTTATCGTGAAAAACTCAGATTAATACTTATTTTCTCTTATTTAACTATTACTTTTTACTTATCTCTTTAAGCACAGTTCATTATTGTATATTGTCATTATAAAATATGCCTACAGTTTTAAAAATATCGGACTTTTATAAATGTGAAGGGAGTTTCCTTTCTGTAGTTTGTGTAAAACAGTAACATAAATAGTTTGTAGAGGAACATATTCAATATATATATTTACCAGTGTTTAAACTTGTCTGTCTATACTCAGGTGTCAAGTGGCATATTTATAATATTGTATTTGTTATCAAAAATAATATTATATGTTGCCGCCATACTTATTATTTGTATAACTAATATACCAGAAAAAGACTCAAACTATTTACCATCATAATGGTTTCACCTATAAATGAACGAACGCCAAATCTAATCGACCGAATCTACTATTATAGTATAATTAACTATTCCTAATTGAATCTCCATTCAATTGAATACTAAAAAATATATTATGGGCAATAATTTCGAAAACTGTTGGTGAATTAAATTCTTTCATAGTGATTTGAGTGTTTATAACGATTTCTCTACTTATTACCATTACGACCACCAATCAAAGTCAAATCTAAACCTCGGTCACAGAATAAATGTGGTTTACCGCGACCGCATACTGAAGGGTGACCGTGGTATCCGACCTCAAACGGCAAGAGTAGTATTATTTACGAGCATGTAACTATCAATCTAGGACACTATTGGCGGAATTAAGGCGCGAACACGTACAATTTGCAGGAGATAAAAACACAAAGAAAAAAAAATCGAAGAACCTATTATTATTCAGTTCTGAATCATTTTCCATAAGTAATTTTTTATGAACAATTTTACTGTAGCAGGATTTTTTGAAAACTGTATACAAACTTTTAATGATTTTATGATTATTTTAACCTCGTATATAAGTTTTATATAATATTGAATATATTTAATAAAATTAATAGAATAAAATGTGTGTTTTGAACACACTATTTAGTTTTTATTGATTAAAAATACAATGTTTTTTATTTTACAACTGAAAATAAGTATTATCTATATACAATTATTACAGAAATGTAATTTGATTTCGCAGTTATCAGTTATACAAATTAAAAACAATAATATTTATTCAACTTAACTATTTAATGGTTTACATTTATCTAGGGTTAACTAAAGACTTCTGTTTCTATTTATAAAAGTGTCTTTTTTTACAATTTTAACCATATCAAACAACACAATATATTATCCACAGTCTGTTTAAAGTGAGACAGATGATATATACTAAATACTCAATAGTTTAATTATTATTGAGTAGTTCTACACAATATTGCTAAGTATTTAATTTGGTATTGCAGTTTAATAACATTCATAAATAATATCCACCATCCATTTCTTATCCCTGTATCTGGCTCCAAAAAACTGCGACTAAATAAATTATACGAATAACTAACATCTAGACACTGTACCTACTTAGAAGCAAAGTGGAACAGTTCATATTTCGCAAAAATGTCTCAAACGAGATCGAGTATAATTTAATTAAGGTAAAACTGAATTTGACTCGACATTTAGTCCGTCGATGGTCCCTTTTTAACGCCTCTGGTAAATGTGAGACTTTCATAAAAAACTTCAAAAATTAATATCTAGACATTTTACACAAAACTTCTTAATCCCAACCGTATCAAGCTATACATCCGACTTTACTTTGATTTACAAAAGAAGCAAGTTTTTATACATATATCTTACCTACTCTTGTATCCTACCCGTTAGCCAGCGGGACAGCTAAAACTTAGAAATTTTCAGCACTGAGATACTGTGGATATAAATATTTAAACAGTAAACGTTCCAAACTTTAATCTTGTCCTCTGTATTATGGTTGAAGAGCAAAGCTTCTTGAGTCGAACGCCCATAAGAATGTATCTACTCTCGGTAATAGGCGAAGTCTCTAGTATAATGATAAAACATTATGTTTTAAAAAAAATATACAGGGTTATAATTGTGAACTTTATATAAATTATAAGTATACAGGGCGATATAATACAAAAAATGTTTTACATAATACATACCTAACCTATACATACTTTTTTTTGAGACGCGGATATATATAACGCGGAATCGTATACGGGGATATGTCAATGATTCAAGCATATTATCACCAATATAAGGATCAGGAGCAGCCAAATAAACGAATAAAATATGATAAGCCAAATAAAATAAAAAAGTGACTTACCTGGCACTATCCTGGGTCCGTTGGCCGTTGCCAATCCGGTACCATAAGTGACTTGTGATGGCGTGGCATTGGACGACACAATGCTGATCTGCTCAAGATCGGCTGACTGACCATGGTGCAACAGGCGCGTACTACTGGTGGACGTGGCAGGTTGCGCGTCCCCGGATTCGCGCCGGCCCGCAATACTCTGCACCAACCGCATGACAAGGCCAGGCAGCGGTGTTGACGGTGTTAGAGCTTGTTTCGCTATTTTTGTTAGTGGTGGCGGCAATTAGTAGGTGGACGGTTCGACGGCGGCGGTGATGGTGCAGATGATGGTGGTAGTGGTGGTGATGATGGTAGTGACGACGGTGACCCACGGTTCCTAACAGCGTCCACAACCGTGGTATACCGAAGAAGCGGTTACAACCGCGGTTATTGTAGCACGACCGCGGTAGCAAAAGCGACCGCTCGGACCGCCCGGACCGCATGATGACCGGCGCGCCGGCACGGCGGTATCACCACCGCCAACCATTGTTTATACCACCACCGCCGCGGTCGGGCCCCATCATCTCCTTGCCAATGCACGACGGTAGTTGACGGGAAACACGACGACAACCTGCCCTTTATTGGTTGCGGACGGCGGCGGGCCGGCGCGCGCGTGACGCGTTCGCCAATCACAACTGTCGTCTACCACAGTCGTCGACGCCGCCGCCGCCACCACGGCCACCGACCGCGCCGCGCGGCCGGCCGTCCGGTGATCACCGGCGATTCTTGTACGGCCGACAGGTCACCGGTGGTTGGGTGAATGGCAGCTGCTGACTAGTAGAGGTGACTGTTCAAAGCGTACATCCTATAAAATTCCCTCTGGCTACCAGACTGCTGATCGTGGTTTGTGTTTGAGAAGGGTTCCTTCTGTGAAAACAAATAACATACAAAATTTAAACTAACCTTTAGAAAAACTATCCTATTATAGAACTAGAAATATTGCACGGATTTCAATATTTTCAAGTATTAAGTAACTGAAAATTCTATCACAACTAACAGTTAGGTACTATTGGTATCGTGATAATTACTCAATAACTATATTGGTAATGGTTATGTTAAGGTTAAAGTCTCCTTATTTTATTGGGTCAGTTGCAGTTAAGTAGATCTTCCAATAGTTCTGGTGTCTACTAACCATCTCATTTTTGGCCTTCCGTCTCTTTTTTATTTCAATTCTTTGATAAAACTGTATTGACGATATACGAATCCATAATTTAAGTAATAACATATGGAATGCATTTTTTTTTTTTGTAAGACAAATTACGAAAAATTAAACGAAATCTATAAAAGCCTTAATAATTTATTTCTTTAGTATGTTTCTTTTTAATAAAAACATACATAATTAATAACTAAAATACCTTTATCTAACCGAATATATCTAGTTCTCGGAATGTAAACATTAGCCCGAATACACGATTTGTTCGGTTCAATAGATATTTAAAAGCAAATTATGAAAATAAAATAGATATTCAACGTATATTCTAACGTGTCAGATGGGTAGTTAATTATATAATATGACAATATACTACTTAAGAATATTATGATTCAAAAAAGTTTTTCCATGAGTCATTTTTCAAAAAAATATATTGCATGGAGAACTTAACTGAAACATGAAATTTTGAAAACCATTCAGGTATTTCGCAGTTTTGATCAATGATCGTCAATCTTCTCGACTTCTCGACCACATCTCCAATTTTCGGTATTTATATTTTAAAATGTATAATCGTATAATTATATTTAGTGATTCCATCAAATTCAGAAATCACTACAATAACAATCTACCACGGCCTAAATTGATTATATTTGTATAATCAATCATCGATTAACTAATTTATGAAGATTTTTGAGTATATTTTGATTTATTTAAATGTTTCATCAGAAATTTTTTGACAACATTATTTACATTATTTAACAAATGTATAACGTACAATATAAAAATATAAATATATAAATAATTTTTTATTAGCAACCATATTATGTTTAACTCTGATTCCAGCCGCTGAAGGAGTTTAGAAACTTTCTTACACGGCGACTATGATGGAAAAATTTTAAATATATATACTCAAATAACGATGGGAAAATATATTTTTTGGATATTTCTTGTGTGTCGAATTTTGGTTGCGAGATAAAAAATAAAAAAGCCGATAACACCTGTTACCGTTGCGATGGATTCGTGGGAGGACACCGTGACGGTTGTAAAATCGAGGGCTCTTTTCAAGAAAAAAATAAAGGTGCTTTTAAAGGAATTGAAGTAATTTATTATGAAAAAGAAAAGAAAATTGCAATAAGTACTTTTCTGTGTTTCTAAGTTTTTTCTTTTCTTTTTTTTTTTACTAATAGCCAATAGGATAATATTATAAGCTAAAATACACGTCACGCTTTTTATTATACTTGCATATCTACTGATTCTACTGGAAATTTGTCAACGGTGTTTTATTTTATTTTTATAAAATACGAGTAGTATGTACAAGTATTACTTCGAAATTTGTATGCAACAGTAATAATTCAAAACATTATACTTACAGCATTTGTTTAATGTATTTTTCAAATTGGATACAATTAGTTTTTTGAAAAACGTGCTGCAAACTATGACATGTTTAAATAGTAATATTGTCCATAAAAAAATCTTAAAAAAAAAAACTATTTTGATACTTCTTATATTCTACCCTGAATATAATGGACATTTATTAAATATTAAATGTTAATGGCAAATAATAGCGATTTCGCTTTGATAGTTTAATAAAATAAATATCATTATAATAAAGTTGGGAAAATTAATCACATTTCGAATTAATTAAATTTATTATAACTTGTAATAATAAAAAATTAATACAATCAGATAGAAAGTTGATTTTAAATTTATTAAATTGTCATCTTAGTAAGTTCGAAATGAGAAAAATAACAACCTGAAGTTAGAATTGTTTTTTATGATATATTTTAGGTCATGAACCTAAAAACTAATCCATTAAACAATTCAACTAAATATTTAAAATCGAATTTAATAATTTAATTCAAAATCAGATAGTTTTTATTGTTTGTAGAATAATTTATTTTAATTTAACATTCCGAGCGTAGCGAGGGAGCTATTGGTTTTACTAAGATGTTTATTTCTTTCTTTCTTTTTTTCTTCTAGTCTGTAGACACGTTTTTTCCAAGTAAACTTTCTCCAATTTTTACGTGTAGCACCTTTTATCAAAGCTAAAATTGTCTAGTTTGTACTTTGAAGAGGGTTTATATAAAATCACTTAAGCAGGAAAAAAACGTAGGAAAACGTACAATTTCACGATTTCATTACTTTATAAAAAAAACGGACGACGTTTTCAACCAGAAAAAATGATTTAATCGAAAAATCATACGATACCTTTTATGTTACCTTTTTGATTTAATTTTTTATGGTATCATCGCCAAAACTTTTGAGCCACTTCTGAGCTTTTAAGGAATTTGAATTTTTGGGAGTTTTTTGCTGTAATTCGGTTATAAATACACTAGAGACTTGAAACTTGCTAAAAATACTTATATTGGACTTACTTAGACGTGGCTAGACGTGGTACAATTTTCGGTCGAATTTTTTTATTAAATAAACATTTTAAAATCAAATTTAATTGAAAATCATAAAAAAAAAATTACGGCACTTCAAATTATGTATTAGTGAACTGTGCTTGGAATCGTTTATCGTCAAGCAATGGTTTATCGTTGCTTATAGATATAAATGAAATAACCGTATGTATTGTACCTTCTCAACTTCTCCCCTACAACAGTGGCTGCTCCCATCCCAAGTATCAGCTCTTTTTTTTTTTGCTGCGGTAGCGTATTTCATAATCGTGTTGTCATTAATGCTCATTATCATAATCGAAGTATAAATCAATAAACCAAAAACCCAAAATGACTATAGTTAACTATTATTTTTAACGCGTTAAGCTCGGTCCACATCAAGACAACATAGAATGACTCATAAGTTGTCTATAAATTCCTATCATTCCATAACACGTGGAAACAAATTGCAATACTGAAAACATAACGTACAAATTTAAGCAACAAAACCACAGCAACATTGATAAACAACTGGACTAAACTGAGTCTACACTGATAAACGTAGCCTGTTTACCAATTTATCATAATGTTTTTATATTGTTTTGTGTTAACGTGTTTGATTATCAATCAAAACATGAAACATTGAGAAATTTTTGTTGCAAAAAATTATTGACGAAATATTTAGTAACTTCTGAAAATATATGAACTTTTATTGTGTCAACATACATCGACTTAAAAAGTTGTTATATGTTGCTCTAGTACGGACCGGTCTTTAAATTAGAATTTTTCAGATTTCTAATAAATGCATTAAGCTTGAATATTCTTAAAATGTTGTAAACTAACTGGTAAGATTTAAAGTTATAAACAATGAATGGAGAAGTACATATAACTTATTAAATTAATGCAAACTTTCTAACTATAATTAGTGCTCTGTAGTTATAAAACGAAACCTAAATCTATCGGTCGCGTGGGATAAATATTTTTCCAGCTCAAATATAGAAGAAATTTGTCAAGCTACATATCTGCCTGATATTTTGTTTAGACGTTGTTTACATGTTTACCTAACTTTATCAATGAACTATAACTTGTTTTATGGAATTAGTAAAACTAAAATGTTTTGAAGCAAAGATACTTTTAAATTGCAAGTGTCTAGTGATGAAAACAATAAACTGGAAGATCACTCTTAATTTCAGATTACGAACTTGAAACAATCGAAATGTTTAACTTTTGGAAAATATTTACTTTGTACGAACAAATATGGGGAAAAAAACCGGGCGATTAAAAGTGAACCGAATTTTAATCAATAAAATTGATTATATATCATTTTCTGCAACGTTCAGAACCGTCTCTAAGAAAAATTCATTGAGAGAGGGCCAAACCTATCAATTTACCAACTCGAAAATTTAAAATTCCATGCGAAACGATGCATGTATTATATAATTATATTATGAGCTTAATTTTTTTTTCTGTTCGTAAACAAATTTTCTACTAGAAATCTTGCTGTAATCAAAAAATAATAATAAATCATTTTTGTTGCATTTTGGATCTAGTTGGTTCATTGAAGAGATTATTCTCTGATTTATGATATAATAATTTCATAATAATTTTGGAATCCCGGATGATACTTAAAAACAAATCTGACAAATTTACGACATTTACAATTTCATTATTTTAAATTCGAAGTGCAGTGAAGGATGTATCTGTTAATAACTTTTCTACCAGAATTGTATTACGTTACAAAAGATATGCTATAATCGAGTATAGATATTTAACAATTCTTCAATTGTATTATTATTATTTATAATCTATATAAGAACATTATAAAACATTATTTATTAAAAAAAAATAACAATAATAAAAAAAATATTATGATAAAATGAACATGTATTATGCACAGGCTAAAGAAAAATAATAACAATAATATAATAATTATTGTAAGTCTACCGGAACCGTTGAATTCTGTAAATCTGTAAACTGGATAAACTCATTCAAGTGTACTTATTCATTGATAAAATATCGTAATAAAATGTCGTCCCATTATTTCAGAGAGGAGAGAAAAAAAAAATTTCTACAATAAAAGAAAATCAGTATTTCATTTACTGGCTATATAGAAATACTCGTCACATCATAATATTATAATAAATTATACGCGCGCGATTTATATTGTATTGAAATCGGGAGCAAAATGTATAAACACGACACTTTGTTGTATTGATTCGAAATAAAATACATTTTGTAAAAAAATCTTTGTTCGGGTGTAATATTATTAATTTCAGTTATTACTATAGTTCTTTATTACAAATACTATTGTATTTTCATATTATTATAAAGTATTATTGTGTTATTGTGTTAAATAACAGCAGGTACATACAACAGTAGCACACCGTTGGTGCAGTCGGAATTTTATAATATAATGCTAAGTTTTAATAATAATTGTTTGTCAAGTATGTACTATAAAGGATGATGATAATTAAAATATTTTCGGGAATTCTTAAATTGTATTCGAAAAACCTGGCGGGGAATGAATTAATGGTATAAACACGACGGAATGTAGACGTTTTTCAGAAGTACGGGGTTTCACTCATAAATTCAGCCGACATAATATTATTTCAGTAGATTATTTTTGGTCCGGATTAAAGCAGCAGAACTCTTGTTATAGATTCGAATTTTACTCCAGCCAACATTGTACATTTACAATGTTTTTTTTTTTTTTTTTTTAGTTTTCCTTTAGTAGATAAAATTGTCTGACCAAACAGAAATACTCGATAAATTAAAACGAGGTTCACTACAAGTAAATTTGTATTTATAAGTTGAACATAGTAATGAGGTCGTTTTTTTTTGTAGAGTTTTAACATCAAATGTCGACGAAAATCGTAATTTTGGAAACATTGTAAACAATATTATACGATTCTACAATGACCGGAGAAAAATCCAAACCAATTTCACTGAAAATTTTGCTGGACCATGATATATATAATCGTATAGCTAGGTAATAATATTGATTTTCCAATCTAAGCACGCGTAAATCACGTCGGAAAAGGAAAGAATACCTAAGTCGACGACGCGACGCGGGATCCTTTTAAAGCCTGCAGCGCTTGCAGAACCTACTTGGAAATTAATCAAAAGCACGAGCGGCTCCGCGAGTAAATGATGTAGACAAAACGGCTAATGACCAAACCGTTTTCCCAGATAAAGTTAAACGTTCGCCGTGTGCGCGGATCGTTTTTCATTCAAGAATCTTGGAACCTGCTGCCACTGTTGTCTCAGCAGCAATAAGAAATTGAAAAGAAACAAAAAAGGGCAATCTATAATGTATATATATATATATATATATATATATGTATGTATATATTATAGTCTTCCACGTTCCACCTCTCTTTTACCTCTGTCCACTTATCCGAACGTTTTTGGATGCCGGGATTGACGTTTTCATTCAAGTCCATACACAAGATAACATTATTATCATCAGTAACACACACACACACACACAAAATAACTAAATAATAAAATAAAGTTAACAGAAAATACGGTTTTTTTTTTTTTTTTATCTTGATGTTGATTGTTTTAGACGTATAACATAGCTATCGTTTTCTCAACATTTAAAATTTACCATAACAGTTTAATATTTAATCGGTCGCCAAAAATAAAAAAAAATTTCTATGCAAATAAATTCAAAACTAAAACCTATTTAAAATAATAAGTTCATATTTCAATTTTATCAGGAGTTTTCTCGATAAATGTGAAAAAACCTAGAAAAAACGGAGGAAAAATGGGAAAATTTAAGAAATATAGGTATTAGTTTAATATTACGGTCTTCTTTTTTCCTGTGAACAACTTTTCTACAAGCAATTTTTCTCTAATTTACAATGATAGCAATTTTTCTGAAAGGAAATCTGACTGGAAAGGTACTTAAGGGAGGTACTTCAATTTATTAGGATTTTAAACATGTAGATTCTAAGAAGTAAATAATAGTTTAATAAGTAATAATTAATAGTTCCCAATTTTAGTTAGTCTACCTTCTCAAGTTCTTACCTACAACAGTAGCTACACCCGTCTCCCGTATCTTTTTTTTTTCTGAATATATAATATGTGTATTAATAAAAAAATAAAAAAGGAATGCTTAAAGGATTGAGTTCCTTTTTTAAGGAACGAGGAATAGGAACGAATTTCTTTTTAAAAGGAACTTTCCCAACTCTGTTTAAATGTATAGTTACTTAATTTTGTTTTAGATTTTGAGTGAAGCGAAGAAGCTTATAGTTTTACAAAGATGTTTATTAATTAATTTTTTTTTTCTTTAGACAACTTTTATACTAAAGAACTTTCTCCGATTTTCACTTGTAGCACTACTTCTGAAAGGAAACCTGACAAGGTAAGTACTTTAAAGACGTTAGGAAAAACAGAAAATTCGGTACATTAAGCAAATATTATTAAAGAAAATATAAAATGCCAATTCAATTATTTGTCCATAATATGACATAGGTATGTATTATTGACAAAGCATCACTATCAACTAAACTCTGCTCAAAATCGTTTTTACGTTAAAAATAGTTTATCGTTGCTTGCAGGTAAACATTAAATTACCTATAATAATGGCCGCACCTGTTCCCATTATACTTAGATGTCTTTTTTTTTATCATTTAAAGTTTATTTATGATTAAATAAATTTGCAAAATATTTAAGTTGTAGCCATTCCTTAAGATACATCCGGTTTTTCGCTAGTTTTAAGTTTATTAGTAATTTTATTTTAATACAATTTGCGGCTTTTGATTTTTTAATTAGATTTGCGTAGGTTATTTTTGATTTTTCGGACATTTTTCCTCGGTTGTGGATAATTTTTAATCTTTTTTTTTTTTTGAACTTGAATTTATATAGTTATTGTTCTGACCATCAAAATACGCTCGTGTAATCGTATCCGATCATCATAACGTCAATAATATTAATCATAATAACAATTCGAACATTAGAATTTACATAAATTATAATTACAATGTACAATGCATTACCGCCGGATCGTTATCTAACCAGAACAAATGTGCAACCTCGTTTTTTTATGAGTTTTAGCAGCTTATTAGATAAGTTATATTTATAGCTGCAGAGCAAGGTCTAGATGGAGGCAACGTTGACGTCAGACACGTTTGCTTGGCACATTAAGTGTTACGTCATGTTATAAAGAGTACAGTAAATTCGCACCAAAATAAAGATTTTTAATACGTACAAGTCATAACAAAACAATAAAAACAATATTTTCTGGCCAAAAAAAATATAATAATTTTACTATATAAATAAATATTAATTTATATATATATATATACTATTGTTTTAAGTAAGAAAATTAAATAATATTGAAAATATATGAATTTCTCATGACATACCCGAATCATCTTCTATTAAGTCTATTTTCACTAATTTCGTCTACTATCAAAGCCATACCTAAATGTCTGAGCTACTTCTTATGTATTCATTCTTTATCATAGTTTATCTCATAACGTCACCGTTCCACTTAAGTATTCTGATCTATGTTACATTGCCCTCATTCTCTATTTTATTTTTCTGTCTACCGTCTTATACTCTAAACCAAACAACATAGTCAGTATCACAACAATTCTGTAGAACTTGACTTTGAATCTCATTGGAATTCTTTTGTCACATAAAACACCTGATGCATCTCTTAACTTTATTCAACCATAATTAATCCTATACTTCACATTCTCATCAAAGACACCGTATTTCTGTTCAAATATCTTAGGCTCTTAAAACTCTCAACTTCGCCTAATACATTACCGTTTATTGTCGTTAGCTGTCTAATCGTGTTCCTCCAAATTCATAATCTGTAGTCTATATAATCAGTTTTACTTCCATTTATTCTTAGTTTCTTTCCTTCAAACGCTACTATCTATTCCCCAAGCCTATTGTTGAATTTTTCTATATTTTATCTTATTTAGATTATAAAAGATCCGATCGTTATAAAAGTACTGTACATAAGGTGATTTTCGTGAACCTAGAAACTTACACATTATTATAAAATTATGATTTTCAAAATAGTGAAAAATACGCGTTTTTGGACTCGCATTCGAAAAGAATGTTTCTCTAAAAAAATTATTATAGTAAATATCATGTCCACGTATTAATTATCAGAACGCAACACCGATACATGTTGTCTCCGTCTTACAAACACACGAGATAGCAATTATTTTCAAATCGTTCATCAGGGAAAACTTTGTACCGTTTGTTATAACATTAAACTGAATTGACCTATTATCAAACTTTGAGATAAGGACATCATATGTGCTATTATCTGTTTTTTTTTATACACATAAATATCAATTTTTAAGTAAGATACGCATATCTGAAATATCACAGTGTAATGTTCTTATCTTTAAGTTCGATAATTGGTCAATTTACTTAAATATTAAAATTAACAGCACAAAGTTGTCCAAAATTTGCTGTCTCTTTTGTTTGTAAGACGGAGAAGGCACATGCGGCTGGTGTGGCGTCTTCTTTAAGATGAATAAATTACTGTATAATCGGAGTGTAAAAAAATATAATAGATTGCTATATGAAAATGTTAAGTATCTCATACGTGTTATGTTGATTGTTTATGATGCGTTTTACGAAATAACGAGAATAGAATTTTGAACATATAGTCAATAAAACCACGGAGGTAGTACAGTAATATTATAATGACCGAGTAAAGTATTAAAATCAAAATTTACATAAAATCTGCGTGTGTGATAACCGTCAGTTCCGAAACAAAGATTCGGTTTTATCACGAATCCTCGGTTCGGTCTGATAAAACGATCGCCCTGTATATTTATACGATCAATATTCTTAGGACGAGAATACATTACGCTCCGCGAGTATTACTGATATTATTATTACTATCTACTCGTTTTTGTATAAATATATATGACAAATATAATATATAATAATATTTTAGTCGGGAAAATTATGACGTTGGAGTGTACTCATTTATATGTGACATAAACGGAGGCTTATATGTAATACTAAGTATAATCTCCCTACTATAAAAATAAAATTCACACTGCATGACTTTGTGCAAGGATATAAAGAGTTTTAAATTAGTGTTGACGCGCTGTATAATATAATCATCAAAACGGATTTGGGACAAAATTTAAAAATTTTAGATTCGGACTAATCTGTGGCTATTTGATAATGTGGCCATTTGTTTGGATCATATACGTACATATATTAAACAAAAAGTTTAAGCGCAATTTACAGAGCCTGCCACGACGATTGCTGATTTATCGATAAGGGCACTCTCCGGAATTATGGCGATTCAATGTAATCTCTCAACAATGAATTTACACATTTTCTCGGATTTAGCACCCATGTCGAATAAAATGGATTCTGATCAATGAAGTTTACCAAATTCATACAATTATATTATTTTACATTTGTACACACTTATATTTGTTTTCGGTTGAACCATCGGTACGTCACATCAGCAAACCCTCGTCATCTCGACTGGCTCATCTATAGTGTGTAAATAATAAATATTAATAACGTCCATTCGTGTTCGTCCACAGAGGAGTTTGAATAAAATTATGTCGAGAGCACTTATTGTACAATAATTTAATAAGGATAACTTCTTCTCTTGTTTAAATATTGTACTATAAGTGAAGTTATTCTAATTTTAAATTTTAATGAAATGCAAAAAGTGATAATATTTTTTCTTTATTACTTATCAGAGAAATGGAAATATTTAGTATTTCGTTCTCGTAAATAAAGTTAATATATTATATTGTATAAATATGATAATCATAAAATTGTTTGATGAGTTCAATCAATTTACTCGTCATTTATTTATTTTATTTTTTGGAGCGAATTGAATTTTTTATCCCGATATAATTAATGTTAGTCTAAAAGACTAGAAAAAACCAGTTTGGTGTTTCTTCTTCTATCTCCTCCGTGAATAATTCCTCCGTTCTCTGCTTACCTATATACAGTATATATTTGCGTTCAAACATATACATTTTATTTTTTTATCTGGAATTTCTTTATAAAATATCGTACACGCATACTGATTTTATGCATTACTTTATCGGCCAGTATAGGTAGATAACTGTTGGTTAATAATGGTTTGCAGGACATAATATACGATTTATATTATTGCTATACTATATACGCCGCATTCGTTATAATATGTTAATGTGTCATCGCTTTAAAATATGCGCATGTAAGAATATTATAATATATAGGTGTAATAAAATAAGGGTAAAACACCCTCTATCTATATACGTATAAAAATACTTTAGTATTATATTTTTATACAACGGCCATTTTTTGTTTTTTTTTTCTCTCTAGAACATATTTATTTTACGAGCTAAGCTATGCGTAAACAAGAAAGAGTTTTCGTTTCCGGATTATAGATGTTCAGTGATAATAAAATCACGTGAAAAAAACTTTATTTATTCATTACAATCCTTCCGAGTTTAAATTTGTTGTGAATGGGTGAGCAGACCATCGTCCGAGTTCATCGATCCGCGCGTGAAGATTTCATACCTTATTATTATATTCTTAGGTATATAGATTGTGCGTCGTTCGAAACGAACACGTTGGTATTTTACGACCTCGGGAAAAAGAAAACTAATCATAAAAGTCGCGAGAACGTTTAACGTATCTACCCCCGGTCGAAAAGGCGCGGGAAATATTTGTAAAAACGTTTTAGAAAACAAACGATAATCGCTTCGGCTTTTAGTTTTTCGAGTGTTGCGGTTCAGGCCCGTATAAGTGCTAATTGCCTCGTTAGCGATTTTGCAAATTGACAGCTATAGTAAATAAAATATCTCGATAGGTATAAGAAGTGTCGTATTTCGACAATACAACGACCCTCAAGAACCTCGCGTGTTACATTTAACTTTCGTTTTACAGGAAATCATCAGGGCATGAATTAAGGAAAAAATAAAAGGAGACTCAAACGTGTGAAAAAAAAAACTGATACTGCCGATAGGTTCACCTCTGAGAGAAATTGGAAGGGTCGAAGGGAGAATATATGAATAATTTAATTTATATTTGTACGCACGCAAAGATAAATCATTACCAATGAAAAACTATTCTGAACATGAACCATATTGCAGTGGTAATCCCAAAATCAACAAAAACGTTACGGGCATTTTCCTGTGTTTCATGTTATTGAAACCCCGTGGAAAATTAAAAAATAATCTCTCTAATGCAATAAAAGAGATCTCTCGTTATTATTTGATTGGAGCGGTAGAAAGGGTCGGGTAAAAAAAGTTATTTACAGACACCAAAAAAAAAAAAAAAAAACACACACATCATAATAAAACCTATAGATACTTCACTACATTCAGAAACCAATGTCAAAAAATGTCCTTACTTTAGATTTAATTGTCTTTATGTTCGTAAATAAATAAATAGAGAGATGTATATGATCGGGGAGCTTTGGTATCGCTATACAATGGTAGCCTCCCTGAGATTATATGGATAATATAATATATACAATGTATATACATACATACAATTATATATATTTATACATACACGTACCATAACATAACATACAATATAACAAAATGATTTGGTTAAGTACACGTTCTGTTCGTTTTTACTGTATTTTATCAAAATCGAGTATTAATTTGTGATAAATAATGAATATTTAATGTATTATAAGTTTAATTTCTAGTCATATGTCAACTTATTCCGCAATACGGGAATGATGATAAATTTCGATTTTGAATAAAACTGTTTGAAAAAGTATTTGAACTTAAAATTGTACTTAAAACAATCTAAGAAGTACCTATGTATTTATGTGTTTACCTGTAAGGTTGAACTACCTTAAAAATACGTCAGGTGTCACTGAGCCAATCAAGTTTTCCCTAAAAATATAGTGTGTGCCCGCACTGCATATTATTGGATCATTAAAATAACGTGGAAATTTGAATAACTTATTAAGCCAAAATAACATAAAACGTCAGTCTTATAATGTTTTAAAACAAAATAACGTAAAATGAGCTTTTTGCATTTTTTCAAATGCAAGCTCTAGTGGGATTAGAACCGCTATATTCATCCTCCTGGCTCTGTAGTGAAACTCGTATTTAAACCACACGACACCGTATTGAACACACTAGCGTTTGAGCGACACGTTTTGAACTTTGTGTTCACTTTGTCCTCCGCACTGCAGAGATTACATTTACCTGTCAGTCACCCACGTAAATGCAGCGTATTTGTACATTATATGTCACTAATAATAATAATAATAATAATAATAATAATAATAACAATAATAATATTATTATTATTATTATTATTATAATTCGTATACGCGCCATTACGTTTTACAATAAACCCGCCGATAAATTATGTTGCGAATCGCGCTGTTTCACACGCGGAACGGCGGATCGCAATTTACGCGTTCAATTCATGCTCGTATTATGTGTACCGCCGCCGTGCGCTATTACGGACAGTCAAGTTTCGACTGCCGACAATAGAAACGCCCGATGCAACGCCATACATGTTTGTATTCATATTATAATATTATTATTATACACATGGGTAGTGAGTAATTAAATTATTCGAGTTACGCGCCGCAAACTTTACCGGCAGTATATATGTATGCCTATCCGCGCGTAGGTGTGATTTTAAACCGCACCGCATCGAATTCACCCGCGGCATTTGTTTCTCGCGCGTCGTAATAGTTACGATTTCGGCCTTTCGCAATCTGCGGTGTGAATGTTTTCGTGTCTGTCTGTCGCTTTTTAGTCTGGCATATCGACTGTCGAACTGTGCGCTACGATGACTATCCGAGGGTGCCGGAAATATAGACTCTTTATGGCATTGTTTACCGACCTTTCGAGAACTTTTGGTAAGCCGGAGACCACTAAGATTTCCCGATGACATTTTAGATTTCAAGATAAACGACGGATATATTGATTTTAATGCGGCTTTTTTTTATGTGTGTGTGTGTGTGTGTGTATGTATCTGTAAACAAATTGTCTACCGAAAATCTTGCTTCAATCAAAAACTTTGCAAGAACTTTCTTGTAGAATTTTTCGAAGAAGTAATTTTTTGATTCGAGTCGTAGTTTTCTCATAATAAATGAGAAAAATTGTACATTTGTTCCATAATTTGTGTGTTACATTTGCAAATATTCGGTTCAGAATTATTTTTCAAAAACAATGGTTCGTCGTTGCGCACAAATATGAATTAAATTATTTTATATATATTCCCCCTTTCAACTTCACTTTTTAAATAGCGAAATATCCATTAATAAAGTACTCAGATAATAGTCGCTCAGACTTATATTATATAGCTATATAGCTCAGACTTTTATTTTGTTTTTCATTATCAGCGAGAAAAAAAGTTTAATAGCACTTCTAAGGTATACAACAATGAGCATAGCCAGATAAATAATACATTAAATCTCCGTGGATATTTTTGAACGGTGAGATGCAAAATTTGCATTAATGGACCATCAGTTGATGGTAACCACGGCATGGTATATAGGACTCAATCTTAGTCAAAGTTAGATATTAGTTTTATATACCGCCCAATTCGCAATTTTCTAGTGAATATCACTAATATCGGGTGCACAATATGCTTTTATTCCGCAAATCGTAAAATCTCTCTTATATGATCATAAGTGCGCGGACGGTGTGTGAATACGTTTTTTTATCAGTAGTAATAACAATAATTAAATAAAATAATGACAAGTATCGAGCGTTAGTTGTAGCGAGAAATCACTAATAAAAATAACAATATAAACAAATAATTTATCCTTTATATCTCTTACCATACACCCTGGCCAAGTCTCCTACCTTGGGCGGACATTAAAATATTCAGCTAACAAATTTTAAAATTTAATTTAATCTAGAGATTTTAAAAATATATACTGTTATTCAAATCCCGCCGCGAACCGGATTTGTTAGCTGTCAATAATTATAAGACCGGCATATTTCGTTTTCAAAACAGCGCATTGTTTTTTTATAGAAACGCGGTATATCTGTAAAACGTTTTTGTCAAACGTATATTGAGGAGGACATCGCATTGTATAAGAGATTTGGGTAATTTGTACGGAATTTTCCGAGAAAAAGTAAACTAAGTAATGGTACAATTTATCTATTTTTTAAACATCTTTTTAAAATGTGAAAAGTGTTCCACCTTGCGTCGTCATCACGAGTATTCATAATAATAATTGCTATTTCGCAAGCCACATTATCGTTATTCCCGACTAAAAATAATATGCACAAGTATATTACAAAGAACAGAAAATGCACACCGATAATATATTCCCATACGCAGATTGACGTGAAACAAACTGATGGACGTCTATCGCCCGTCAATATTTGTCTGTCGTTTGCAGAATAACACGGGTAAGCATTATGTGTAATAACTCTTGTTCAATAACAAACCCGTATAATGAAATATTATTACATACATATATACACACGTGTAAAACGCATTAAAAAACAAGAAATCGCCCATTATACACTACGCCTATATTATACAGGTACGATGAACCAACATTCTTAATAGATTATCTAGCTATCCGTGTCTTAAATAGTCCGAAAAAATGTATGAACATATATTCGTAGAACAGCCTGTATAAAAACTAAACGGGCATTGTGAAAATGATTGGTCGATTCGCATATTTCTTTTTAGAAAATATTATTTGAAAATTATCATCTAATTAATCGACTGAAGAAAAAACGGAAGATGTCAAGAAAAAAAAAAAAAGAGAGCTGTACCTATTTTCCTGTTTTAGATTCTGAGCGGAGCAAAGAATGTATTAATTTTACAATGATATTTGTTCTTTTATTTTTTATGTGAACACTTTCTACTAGAAAGTTTACTGCAATTACTAATTATAGCACCTTTTCTGAAATAAAATGTTCCCTGGGTGGTACTTTAGAGAGGTCATTTTTTGAAATTCGAGATAATATTCGAGATAATGAAGAAAACTTGGTTCTTTAGGTTAAAAAGATTAAAAGATTTAAAATAAGGTCATCATTGGCAATCATTTTTATTTATGTTTGGTTATTATTCAGTTTTTATTATTTTAATCTTATTTAAACAAACCTTTTTTCCATGGAAACGAACATTTCTAAAAAAAGCAATATTATAGACCCAGCTTTATTAAAATAAAAAAAAAATTTCGATTTCAATACGTTCTATTAACTATTAAACTTTATATTATATTTCTTTATTTTATACTTAATGACTATCAACTGAACTCCGCTCAGAATCCGCTTTTTTCATTAGAAATGGTTTATCGTTGATTACAGATATACATTAAATTCCCTTCTATATCCTACCTTCCCAACTTCTCACCTACAACTGTGGCTGCACTTATGTACGAAGTATTTTCATCTTTTTTCCTACGTTTTTTCCATTTATTGGGAAAACATTTAGACAATCAAAAAATCACCTCCTTTAAGTATTTCCCTTATAATAATAATAATTACATATGTATTATATATTTTATTTAATTATATTTGTTTAACATTCTATCTATTATCCCGTTTTCTCTGGTTTTCCCATCTGTAGAGTAAATTCCTCGTAAAATCAAAACAAATGACCTCCTTAAAGTACCTTCCTGGTCCGATTTCGTTTTAGGAAAAGTGTTTTCATTGTAAATCGGAGCAAAATTACCGGTAGAAAAGTTGTCCACAGAAAAAAAAAAAATAAATATCATTGTAAAACCGATACATTCCTCGCTCCACTCCGAATCTATAATAAAATATCTCGAGTTCAAATACTTTACCTTTTTGGGGCACGTCCTTTTTGATCAATCGTGATCGTATTTCATATGTGTTGTTTTGTTAAGTCTTAAAACAAATTAGTAACGGAGAGTGGTGGGGGGGGGTAGGTTGTTAGACCCTACGTCAAATTTGTGTAACTTCAAAAAAAAAAACAGACCGTCCTTATATATATATATGTGTGTGATATTTATAGACGTTTGATGGTTTTGGCAATAGATGGGTCATCTACGGAGAGAAGATTTCGCAGCGCGGCGTGTCCGAAGTTAGGTTAATATCGATTGCGCCCACAACCTCTCCGCCGTCGCCACCACAGAGGGCCGCCGCCCCGTCGCCTACTGTAAGTGTAACGTTATATATATACGCGAGGATGAGGACTCGGTCACCAGTTTTACAGACGCGTACTCGCGCGCAATCGCCCGGGAAAGGACTGGTGTGCGGCTAATTAATCACGTTGATACGGTGCAGTGTGCGTGTGTATACGTCATTTCGCGAAAAAAACACACGGAGAGACCCGCCCGAGCAAATATAACGGCGCGTACACATTATTATATACATATATGCACTTGACGTTTACGTGACGAAAAAAAATAAAAATAAAAATACATCTCTCACGGTTTACGTGTGTCAACTGCTGCGAGCCTGCGACACTCGACCGACGACTATACCCGACTATACACCAACTATATTTACCTTTGAATTATTAATACTTTAGTACCGTGTACACGCCATATAATATATATGGTATATATAAAATGCATGAATATACGCGCTCTAGTGTACCACATTTCTTTTCTTCGAAGTCGCTCGCCGTTACAATATTCGATCGTCTTAACACTTAACTACGGTCACCTGCGACGACGATGCCGAAAACCGCCGGACGAAAAACCCCGATCGGAATTTCTTTTAGATTCTGAACGTAACGAAACATATGCATTTGCTTTACTACGGTTGTACGCGTTGATTTTTCTGCCTGTAAACAACTACTAACAGTTCTACAAGATATTTTGCTCTGATCATCAAACACCCAGGGTGGTTTCCGATATCAAATTATGTCTCGGATCAGTGTACAGTGGTAGTAGCTTTTATTTTTGTTTTCCTAGTAGTTTTCCTAATTATCGGAGAAACCGGAAGAAAGCGTCTGGAATATTTAAATATTCAAGCAATTACGGTTTCTGTTATTTCGATTTTGTTGATTACGGGGGTAAAATACGCGACTAATACCTTACTAATTACGTATCTACGCTCGTAATTGTTTTTTCATTCATCGTTGATCGCTGTATATCTCTACTTATCCTTCCCAACTTTCCATCCGAAATATCGGTCTACCTATGATGCAAAGACTGCGAAGCATATCCGTCGGTATTTTTTTAAAATTAATAAACGTTTTAGCCACAGATGAATCGTCGGAAAACTCAAAAGATTATTGAAGGCAGTGTACAAAAAATTGGGCGGTATTAATAATTTAGTTTTTATATTAACCGCTCCGACGGGTATTCGAAATTTTGTATTTTTACTGGAACGTTTTAGAAAAGAATACGATCCAAACAGAACGGCGGATAATTGGGGTAAACAAATAAAACTGTCTGATACAGACGTGTATACAGTGCTATATTGTGTAGTATATAATACTGAAACAATAATTGAATAAAAAACTTTAATGTTCAATGTTGTTTTCTTCAAAACAGATTAAACAACTGAAATGTAGACTTAAATATCATATAATAGTATTATGTATTTAGATAACAGCAAATTTGCATACATTTTACGAAAGAAAAATATTTATTTGTAAAGATATCTATGTGGTGAATATTGTCGGAAAAGTCGACAAATATTTATTAATATTATTTCCATTCAATTAATTTAGTTTTAATTTTATTGTTATTATTTTATCAACAATAATACTTATTCTTCTAACCACGCAATATGTTTTCAAATCCGATGAAATAATATTTAACATGATTTGTGTGTGTTTTTAGTTTAGTTGATAGCTTTTTAATCGAGGTCCTAAGAAAAAACTGACATACGACGCGTGTATTTTAATATTCCTACATTCTTTTTTAATCTTAATATTGTTATTTTTTTTTTTTTTTTTTTTTGCGTACATTTCGAATAGTTAGTTCCTAACCTTAATATATTATATTATATTGTGTAATGGTGAAAAATTAAAAATAATATAACTCTGTAAAAAAAAAAAAATTGTTACTTTTAAATAAAATTGTAAATAAGTAGATAAGTACCTATCAATTTTATAGAGGTATTGAATTTAATGATGATAAGGGCTCGGATTCTATAGCAATTGCTAATTATTTTAGGATAGATACAGATAAATATAACAGAGTGAGCTTTACATTTATTTTATGCACCAGAGACTCCAAATATGAAATTTTTATTGTTTGTATATTTGAAGTATTTTAAATTTTTAATGTTTTTTTTCTTTTTCAATTATTGGTACTATTTTTTTGCAAATATGCATAATATAATGATTTATTTTGTATTTTTCATAAATAGTAAAAAATCTGTCATTTATGTGATTCTATAAGGAAAATACTTACATTTGCCTTTCGAATTATAATTTATTTTTAATTAGCCCGGCCTAAAAACATTTATGACTTATTATAAGTTGTATGCCACCCTAGCCAGTTCACGACCAGCCTCTCCAGAAATTTACCGACCGTATCCAAAATGTACAGGGGCCTGAAACTAGGTGGCTCTGGGACCGAAGTATCAGGAGCCTTGAGTAATCGGACGAGCTTGGCTTGTTTTCATCGTCGAGCGTCTCCGGGGCCAACCGAGCCACCCGAACCAATGACTCATTGGGCACGTGGTCAGGACTTGGTACCCTGTATTATTTATTTATACCTAGATTAAGATTTCTATTTACCTAGATAAAGTATTGTAAATAATTATGTTCACAATATTTTTTTTAGGTGGAAATAAACCGTTATACATATTACAATACGTCTTAAATTTATACAGTGTAGTTTCCCCTCCCATTGTTTATTATAAGTACATATCATAATAATTTACACCCTTATTACGGATACTCGACCGAAGTGTTATTGTTGTTTGTCGTCAATTCGTAATATTAATAAGGGTATCGACCTATGCTGGTGATGATACTGAAACAAAAGTATCACTTTAAAGTATAATGTAGAAGTTCTCAAATTTTATTTTCACGTACCACTTGTATGTATTATGAATCTGTCACGTACCACTTATGACCAAACATTGAATTATTCATAATGCCTATACATTTATTTCGAAACGATTAAAGTATAAGATATTAAAATACCGCGGTATAATTAATATCAAAAATACAAAATACAAAATAGTATTATAGATCCATAGATATTAATTCATTTTTTGCCCTACTATATTGCCCACCATGTTGTTTAACTTTTGTCCCGATAATACCTATTATATTTTCTGCTGAATAATTTATAGGTTATATCGGAATTATAAATTTTAGCTACTAAAATTGTTACTATTCATATGTATTTCGCTATGTATGTATTGTAACTGCAGGTTTCTAATATTGTTTGTAGAGACAATTCATTATATCTGCATAAATGTGCCCTGAGAAGTTCTACGCGTAATTATTATTCAATAATATCGAAGTTGAACGCGTATAAACGTGTAACTTATTGCAGTACTTTGTTAAGGGGATGCGAAACGGAACGAGAATAGCCTTATCTTTCTTTGTGTAACACAAATGCAACATAGCAATGAAGACCAATTTTTTCGTCAATCAATTCGATTAATGTAGCCAAGCGTTAAGAGTTTTGAAAACATTTGAATTCACGCGATCGGCCAGAATTCTTTCTTCGATTTTTTTTATTTATTTTGTTTTTTTCTTATTTTTCATACATTTTTATATAGGTACCCGGTACATAATGTATGTATATCAAGAATAGTGTATGGATATCAGAAGTCAAGGACTGAAGTATTCAGGGAAAATTCGACAGCTAAAAATTAATTTTATGACGGGTATTAGTGTTGGAAACCTTAACAGTTTCATGAAATATGTTTCAATCGTATTGAAAAAAGGCATTTAAAAACAAAATTAACGTGCACTGAGGACAAAACAGGATAATAATCATCAATTATGCAATAATAATATGATTGATAGCATAAAAATGAAAAAAAAAATAAATAGGTTAGGGTAAATAAAAACATAAATATTGTGGTACAATTTAGAAAGATTATTCTGAAGAGATACAACCGGATAAAGGAGAATAACCTATGGATACAATTAATACTATAGGAGAGGTTTTCGCGATTATAAATCGCAAAAATCATTAATAGTAAAAGTCTATTTAAAATTGTTAAAAAAATAAACAATTGATACTTTGCCTATGAAAACCAATAAGTAATGCATACACATATTGAAAAAAATAAATGCAGTAAAAAAAAGAAAAAGAAAAAAGCATTTAATATTCGCATTATTAATTGGTATGTATAATTTTTGCATAAGCGAAGGTTTTCGCAGAGGATATTTAAGAGAATATTGGCAATTTTTAAAATCATAAAATACATCTATTGTATCAGTTTTCCGAGAAAAAATGTTTAGGAAAACGAAGTTTCATAAAAAAAATTGTTTTTGCCTAAGATACCATATACTTATAGAAATTCTACCTATTTTTATCTATTTTTAACACTTTTTGACCACTTTCATTGACTAACTTTCGATAGTTCGCGGATCACACATAAGAGAGACTTATAGATTCTAAGCGAAGTAATGAATGTATTTGTTTTATAAGGATGTTTATTTTTTTAATTTTTTTTTTGTTACGTGCTTTTTAATTACCAATCCTTTCAGTCAAGTTAGCTAATTAAGATGATTTTACAATTTTTATTTGCTACGTTCTCTTCCATTGAAAATTCCTGGGCACGTCACTGTTAGAGAATTCAAAATAAAAGAAAATAACATATAATGTATGATATTGATAGATATATTATTGTTATATAGGTATTTTTGATTAGTGTGTGATCTTTAGCTATAGTAAATTTCCTTTTCATTAAGTATTTCAAAAATTTTAATAGTAGGTGTGAATGTGTATTAATATTTACTAAGTATAATAACTAAAAAAAAAAAACGTTCAAATTGTTAGGCTCTATTCAAGGACAATGAGTCTTTTCAATTAGCGTTTTTACACTGTTTAATATAATATAACGTATAGATACTGTTATATTTATTAATCTGCTACAGGCATCGCGATTCGGCTGCCACACCGTTTTAAATAATATAAAACTGAACAAAAAATAAATCCATTTTTCTTCCGAAAAACCATTCACGCGGAGCCAAAGCACTGAAAGGATTTTTACAGATTTATCGCCCGAAGGGGAAATTCGCCCACAATGTACCAGTGTTGTTTTTCGAAAAGGAGACAAATAAATTATTAAAACGTATTTATTTATATTGCAGTACACAATGAACTTGTGAGCAATAATAACTCGAACCGCAGCTGCTTTAGGTGTACCGTAGTCGGACGCAAAAATATCCACGCGGACGTTGTATAAATTTCCGCGGTGTTTAATGCAACTCCCCATTGGAGTTTTCGTGTAGAACGAGAAGAACGGCAATTTTTTTGTTTTTCTATCTACAAGAATTTTGGATTTAAACGAGTCTTTAAATCGTTCGGCCGTTACACCTGAATGTGTTCGGTCTGTATTGTATAATAAATTAATGTCATACCTCCTCGATAAATTTGACATGGTTGATTAATACACTAATATTAGTCAACCCGCGTAAATGCAAGTAATACAACTATTTTGGAAACAGATTCAACAAAAAACAGTATTGACCGAAGTACAACTATAACGACTTAATCAACTCTAAACTTGTGTTCGTTGAAAATCCAAGATATTTGTCAAGAAGTATGTTTTATATGAAATATGTTAATAAAGAAATAAATATTTGTTCCCAGTTGGTTTATTATTCAAATTTAGGAATGATATTTTGGGACGCCCGGGAATCTGGCTACAAATGAAAATGAACCTTTATCACAAATACGGTCATTGGACCAATACAATTTTACATTTATAACAGGTAGATCTGGTGATTGGGCCACTATTTTAAAGGTTTTTTATTTTTTATATGCTATACGAATCTCGTTGAATTTATGTTTAATACTAACAGCCATCAACGAATGCCAATCCAAGTAATTATATTTTACAAAGCGTTATCAACAAAATTAATAAATAATAACTTTCCTGTTCTTTCTAAGTTTCTTTCGAATTTTGCTCAGTTATTAAAAGAGTACAGGGAAAATCAAAAAAAAAACGATTGTCTACTCACCAACTAGGTTAAGAATGGACAAAATAGGTAACTTGTTATTTTTCTACTGGAACAATATTTTAATAATAAACATAAAGGATAAACAATATAAATAAAGGAATAAAATCATAATGTCCTAAATTTATCAGTTTTCATTTTTCTTATTTTTTCTAAATTTTTGATTTACCGCCAAACCGTTAACGTGATAAATCACTTTTAAGTTTTGGTAGCGGGAGAGTAGCGGAACATCATTCGTATGGCGACACGGCGAGTATCGTTTTATTAGAGTTCCATTATTCGTCCCCTACAATAACTTAAAAGCGGTTTATCTCGTTAACTGGTAGACGGAAATTAAAAATTTAGATACGAAAATTTATTTAAAGTAATACTCCGTCTATTTATGGAATTTTTAAAATAGGTTCTCATATGGAAAAAAAAAGTTGGTATTATCAGAATATTCCTTTAATGTTGAAAAATCTAAATATTTGAAAATATCAGCTTGAATTACAATTGAAAATTCCAAAAATCCGAATATGAATATATATGCAAAATGCAACCAAAAAAATAGGGTGAGCACGCTTAGTGAATCACTCTGTATATAATTTTGTTTATTACCTATTATAAAAGACGTTGTAAAAGTAGTAAAAGTTTATGAGGCTTGGTACACATCTCGTTTTCACAAAGATTATTTAATATAACTTGGCAATTTATTTATTTAACCATATTTATATAGATTAAATTCTTTACCTATAATTTCTAATAAATACATATTATAAATTACGATTTAAACTGATTTATCTGGATGATTCGATTAATTTCTGATCTAACGGCTCAGATTACTTATTTGTCATTTATCTAGATAAAATAAAAGATAAATTATAAGCGTCTAGATAAACAACAATTTTAACAATCGACAGTGGTCACGTATAATTATCGTATATATATATATATTAGTTATTTGTTGCCCAAATTAATAAAATGTGGTAAATAGGGCAAAGGTAGGTAAAATGGGGACCCTATATGAAAAAAATCCCCGCCCTTTAAGTTATTGAACTTTAAGAACTTTTCTAAACCAAAAAAACTTTTTCTTTTATGTTCACGAAACATCATGTTTTTAAATTGTGTAGTCCTCTAATAGTTTTTTGTGCTTTAATTTTCAAAAAAAATGTTATTTTGCACCATTTTAGCCGTATGGTTATGATTTTCAAAGCTTTTAGAACACTATACTATTATATTTATAGTAATAATTTTTGCCAGGTTATTGTGATCCCTATGATATCCGAAATAAATATGAACGTTTTTTTTTTTATAATCTTCTTTAATCGATTATAATATTTGATTTTAGCTTTAAATTAAATATACGATTTCAAAACTACTCAGATGAAACGCAGATGATAAAAAATAAACGAGACGAAACTTTAGATTTTCACCCATACATATTGTTATTGCTGAAAAGCGACGTACTCCACATTGTATTTAAACCAATAAAAAGAACCGAACTATAGACGGTGAGAAGGTTACAAAAGAAACAGTGATAAAAATTCAAGACAATTAAGTAAGTACATAGAATAAAAAAATAAACAATAATAGTGGAAGGATAATAATAATATAATACAATGAAGGCACGAATTATCGGAGATACGAATGAGAAATATGACTGAAAGCATTTGAATGTATAGGGAACCTCCTATTTAAAGCAAATCAATCGATAATCAGATAACAGACGGCATAATAAAAGTACAACGCTATTGTATGTTATTAATACGAATTCACTTAAATTCTTTTTTTGGGGGATCAGCAATGAGATGATCCCGCCCTATCGCCTTTATTACCTGTACAATAGTTGTTAGTCGGCTTTACGGGGACTACTAGTATTTATGATTTTGTTTTTTTTTTTAAATTAAAAATGGTTTTACATTTGCATTTCGTTTGTTTATAAGAAAAAAAAATACATGCAGTGTGAAATACGAAACGTGATGATGATTTTCAGAATTTCCGACATTTTATTTTTATTCGTATCGTATTCAGTAGCACGCGTCTAATACGATATTGTTCATAATACTAAAAATTCTTTATCCAGCGAACAGAGTGCGCTAGTGTCCACTCTCATTGTAATCGTTTAGTAAAATTTAAATTTGTGTTGTTTTTATACGAAATTCTCAATTTAATACTCATCAAAATTTCGAAAAAACTATACAACTTTTAGAAAATTCCTATACAGTGTATAAAGTTACATTTCGATATTTGTATTGTAACATTACATAAACGAAATATACGTAACACGTGATATTTTGTTTTATTTGAATTCGCTATCGATTGTTATACGGCTTCTACGTAGTTGTTGTGTATTTTGGTCGTGAATCAAAATCGATTCGAAATTGTAAGTTTTCAAGAAATTAGCACTGCGAAAAAAAACCCGATCACGACGATGGCATTGAAATGAGTAGTGATTAAACTCCAAGACTAAAGAGCAGATTGATGGGAGCTAGATGAAGGTCGGGGAGGCAGAGAAAAAGTATGACAACGAGATGCGAAGGGGAAGGAGATGGGGAAGGAGAGAAAATGGCACAAAATGATGGAAATGAAAATAACAAGAGAGAAAAGAATGCGATCTTCGAAATAGTGTGGACCCGAACCCCTTATATTTTTACTTGTATATGTATGCGTGTGTTTTGTTCGGCCGTCCGGGGGCCGTGACGGCTGTAAATGCGACAACAATACACCAGACCTGTCAAGTTGTCTGGAGCCGAAAAAAAATTATTCGTCCGGGCGCGCGCAGTATACTTTGACGGCAGTGTTGCGGAACGGGTAAAAATGAAAAATTATTAACGTGATGCCTGAGAGTAGGGGGTGAAGTAGACTTCTGCAGTACCCTATGTAGTATAGCAGCGCACGTATATAAATATATTAAACAGTAGAGGAATGTTCATTAAAAAATCAGATACCGTATATAATATATTTTATATCTATTATATATACTCGTATATAAAACATTAATGCCTGTTTGATTAATTCGTCGTTTTTAAGTATTTTTTGAATAGTTTATGTTTTACAAAAATTCAACTTTTTGCGGGTGTGATTTATTAAAAATAGGTACGAGTCTCGCACGTTTCATAAATCTGAATTGAAACTAATATATTTTACGTGTAGGCAAAACAAAAAAAAAAACCTGGACCACTATAATAATTATTATTTTCTATATTAATTTTTATAATAATAATTTATATTTAAACATTTTTCTCGTCTTTTCGTAGTTTTCAACAATTGCACTGTATACTGTATACGGTATACTGTCTAGCATCATAAGTGCCGAAAGTTGTATGTCTTACTTACTTTTGACCAAAGCGGCTCAAGGGTTTTGACATGGGTTGTAATAATTTCCGAGAAAAATTGTACAAAAGATTTAGAATTGTATAATTACTAATACTACTGGTGATGGGAGTGCCATTGTTTTAGAATATAAGTTGAAAGGGAGGATTAGGTAATTTATATTTGTATGCAAAAACCATTGCTAACGAAAAACAATTCTGAGCAGAGTATTATTAGTCATTTGTTTTCTCTTGTTACCTAGATAATCGAAAATCAACAAAAATTATACGTTTCGTATAATTTTTTCTCATTTTTAAAGACAACTTCAAGGAAAATGGAACAAAGGTCTTCTCAATGGATCTACTAAATTAAAATTCCTTAAAAGTTTTTGATTGAAGCAAAATTTTAGGTAGAAAAGTTGTTTGTCTATAAGGTTAGGTTACCTAACCATAATTGACCGGAAGTGATCAGCAATAGTGGGGGGCTAACTTCATGAACATCCATAATTGTTAATAATAATTCAATAAAACAAATATTCATTACACAATATAAAACAAGTATACGATCATGATCGTTGTAGAAAAAGAACATATTTAAGTTGAAATTTCAAGTAAGTACATTGTTTTAAAAATAATACTATATTTTATTTTTTATCTTAATTAATATAAAATTTTACATTAAATAATGTGATAAGTATATCATCAATTACATGATATCTCAAATTTTTTTGTTAAAAAGTACAAATAATTTGATTTCATTAATACATTTAAGGTTTAATATGTATTATGTACATTCTATTGAAATATTCTATTATTTCTGTATTGTATAAAATACATTGAATAAAGTGCATTGTGTAGGTATCCAATAAATGAAATACTATGTAATTAATTTATTAAATAATTCATAATCGTAAAACTGGTGACCTAAATCGAAATCACGGTTAAATAATATGAAAAGATATACAGTGCCAGTGCGAAAATGTTTTATCTCGACCCGGTTGTTATCCGCAAAATATCGTCTTATCGAATATAATTTTAAGTATGTCGGCTGGTATATTTGAAAACCAGACATTACTGTAATGAAGTATGAACATTTTAAAATATCATTCGTGTTAAGATCATTAAGAACGATTCTATATACTATGGTTGAAACAGATCGTATTATAAAGAACACGAAATCTGTGTGGAAAACCATATTTTATAGATAACAGTTTACTTGAAATATTATACGCGTGGTCTAAAATACAAAAATCACTCTAAGACATAACAAATGTTTTTTAAAGGTTATTTTCGGAAACTATATGATAAAATATGATAAAACAATGAAATAATATTACGGAGTGTAGCATTATTATACCGCCCAGTACAGAATCAAGGGACATATAATAAGTCAAAATGATCGATGAAAAGTCAAAAAAGAGATCATAAATGTCGTTAGTATGACGCATGCGCTCGGATACTGTACCCAGGGGAGTATTAGACGGATTATCGTAAAACTTTGCGAGCTCATCCAACGAAACTGTTAGTTCGAAATGACTTTAGACTACAATGAAGATGCAAATTTTGATTTTGACGTCAAGCAAGACTTTATACTAAAAACATGTCAGTTGTTATTTTAATACATAATATATTAATACACTACTGGGCGGTCGTAATTTAATAAATAATAACATTTTGACTTTATTATTCAATTTTGTTTAGTTATGCGAAAATTAATTTTTATTCGACTTGTTTTAAATATTTTTAAATATTTATTTGGTAACAATAACTAAGCATAACACTATAGTTAATATAGTTTATTTTATTATTTTTGTAGACATGTTTCAAAATATAAGAATATTTTATATGGGAGGTACAAAAGCTATAATTATTTTGAAATGGCGATTAGCTTACGGAGATTTTGTGTACATTTGATTATGGTTTTTCAGTTACAGTTTTTTAACGATCCTATCTACAATATTTTCAGAATTTTTATTCTGTATAGGTACCAAAAATGGGCATACATATTTTTGATCTTCAAACGACTACCCATATTTTTGAACTTGAATTCGAAAATATGTTTAAAGGTAACGATAAAGAAAGAGATGGGTGGGTTATCTGAACATAGATATGAAAAATTTATCGACTTACTCGTTCGGTTTAAATTTTAAATCGTTTTTAGTTAGTTTATTTTTAAATGGGAGTTTTTAAAAAATTAAAAATTAAAACAAACGACATTTTCTTAAAATCTGCGTATATATAATATTATAATAAGTGCTCTTTCGTGATAAAATAATCACTCTGTAGATAAATATATAATATATATCATATAGCCGATGGAATTCTAATGAATTATACCCGACCAAAAACAAAACCACCTAGAGATGAAAACTCGCAGCCATCGCATAAAATCGATGTGAGCCGATAATATTATTCGTCGCTAAAAAATAATAAGTTATTGATACACTCTCGCCAATCGACAAACATCATTTCTAATGTTCTTCGGCGTCATCATCATTATCCGGTATCGTTATCTTATTACCGCGGGTGTTGAGTTTAATGCACTAAACACCTCTTTATTGATTTTCCAAGTATAGAAATGCATATTTTTAAAAAAAAAAAAAAAAAAAAACATTTTGAATTGAAAAAGTACATCAGCCTTCAATGAGAAATATTCTAAAATTTACATTCATACCGATATTTTATTTCACAAGAGATACGGGCTTTACGCCCAATTAAATGTAGTGTAAGTACGATATAACAACAATGAACAGTGTACAACTAAATACAAACATACAAAATGTAACAATACAATTATACAATTATTCCTTATTTTTTGTTTGAAAAATACAACAATTACAATTAAAATAATAACGAGAGAGAAGGGTCGGAGTTTGCTAAAGATATGCAGAGACGAAGAGGCTCATTAAGACCATAATTGGTTGCAGAAATAGAAGCTAAAAGGAATAGATTAGCGGGATTGTGGGAAGAACAGGGAGAAACTCTGAAGGAAATCTTTAAGAGTAAGAAAAGCGAATCGATTTGCCCGTTTATCAGTTTGGCCTAGAAGCCGAATCGCGCGCCTATGATTGACCAACGTTTCCAACTCAAATAACTGGATGATAGGTACATAATCATGGGGTAAACGCTCAATTTTATGGATATAACTAAAGTCATTTAAAAATTTGCACTGAACATGTTCAAGCATAAGTGATTTATCTGCTGTTTGTCTGGGTAGCTTGAAAGGCCGTAAAGTTAACGATTTGAAATAATACATTTCGTAAATTTTCCCGTTTTCTCCCATTTACCAGAGAAAACTCCTGGAAAAATAAAAAAATTACCTCAAAAAGTACCACCCCAGTCAAATTTCCTTTCAGAAAAGGTGCTGCGGTTGAAAATCGGCGGAAAATTTCTGACGGAAAACTCGTTTACAGAAAAAAATATAAACATCATTGTAAAACCAATATATTCCTCGCCCCGCTCAGAATTTAAAATATATCTATTTAGATAAAACTCGATGCCATTCGTATATTATATTATTTTATACAAGCTATAAAACTTTGATTTTGATTAATTTTGATCGGAGCACCGAACGGATTTGTCCTTGTTAAACTGTCAGTTATCCAAAAATAATAATATTTTTTTTTCCGACCGTAACCAAATATGATTGATGAAGAATAACGCACGAACACACACGAATGGCGTATTTTTACGATGAGCAGCCCGATTAGAGTGATATGATATAATAGGTATAATATTATATACACGCGACAAGTTCTCGGCAGGTCTCCCGTTACGATTTTTATGGCGGCATTATTATGATTGGATGAAAGACGGCGTTGGCCGACGAAAATATTGTCGTCCGGATGTTCTTTCGCAGTAGCACAAGTATTATACGACACTATATAACATTATGGAAATATCCGCGAGAGTTGGCGTGGTGAGTGTCATTTTTCGTTGAGCACATCATCATCATCATATTATTATTATTGTGATCCGATCAATCAAAGTCGAGAGAGAAAAGGTCAACGCGACAACAATAATAATAATAATAATAATATCCATACTATATAATATTGTAACGCGGACAAAAAATAAAAAAAAAAACCGAAACAAAAACAGAAATAATACCAAATTGATACATATTATATTCCACACTGACCCTGCTGTGTACAGCTGCGGCAGTTTCGCATGATCCGCTCAAATTTTAACGGCCGGACGTGCTTTAAAACACACACGCACACACATATGACGTATTCAAGTACCTATATTTTTTTTTTTCGTAAAATCCGCTATTCCGCGCTTAACCAGTGTAAATTTATGCGCCTTTGATGCGGAAAAATCACGTACACGCGTACGCAGTCCATTTGCACACACGTCACCGATGCAGGCGCACAGAAGTCGTGTTTGTAACAGGCAATCGGTATTACTCGGTAATACTAACCTAAACGTCGTAGCATATATTATATACAAGTTTTTAATATATTATTTATTCTGCGTTGGATTTATTATATGCACGTAGGTAAGTATGTATTGTGACGGTGCAGTGTAAGGTGAACCTCCTCCGATATAAACAATTAATTAGCTTCAAACTGTAGAAAATAATAACACCCAATAGGTACCTCTTACAATAAACATTTCGATAAGTACATTTGTATACATTTATTAACTGTGTCGATGTTGCGTTATGGCGATCTACGATAATATCGAAAAATCTATAAACAAAATATCAAGTCGATAATGGATCATTATAGGTTATGTAGTATGAGTTACGGTGTTCAACCGGAATGTCTGAAAAACTCAACGAGGACTATCAATCTGTGTCATGGTCAAACCCTCAAAGACTACCCCTTGACTGTAGACACTAACCGACTATTATTGCAATTACGGAAAACGGTTCTATATATGCGACGCATGCGCGAACTGCTTCCCGAAGGTTAGTGATTTATAGACCAAAAACGAGATGTTCACGAGAAGGTAAAAATGTTTCGTGGCGGCAGGTCACCCGTTCGTTATCCGTATCTTTGTTACAGGTAATGCAGATAGTGTATTATAACAAATAAAATTATAATATTATACGTAGTATATAGTTTGATAGTAATAATACGTACAATTATGTTACACACGTGTATAAACTTTTATACTATTTTTTTTATTTTTCTGACAGTTTTACTTGGATGCGGTATTTATATTTCGAGTGGTGCTAGAGAATGGATGAATGTCGTGGATGATGTAGCATGTGACATTGCAATTTGTAGCTATACATCCTTGCGTATTATACACAGTAGAATGTAACTAATTAAGCATGGCTGGATGAAGTAGAGAGAAGCGACACGAGTGTTGTATAAATTTAAAAAAAAAAACATAATAACAACATGATGGGCAATATGAGGACAGAAATAAAATAAAAATCGAAAGAAATGAAGACGATGGTAAATATGTAGACACGTCGTGAGGAGGAGAAATTACGAGATACCTCTAGTCAACCGTCGAACATAAGAATTCGAAGCTGCTTTTTGTTTTCTTCCGTAATGAATATATTTTTTTTTCCACGGAAAAAAGTATAATTTTTGCGTATTAATTTTAATCCCTATTCACTATTTAATTATATTTATTATCTACGGTTACATTACATGCAATTTTTTTGTTGGGTAGGTTAAATTTATAGTATTCAATTTTCAGTACTTATACCATATGTAATTATAATATTGTAAAATTTACTGCAATTCTGTAATATTTTGTATTTGTTTTTTTTTTTTTTTTTATTGCAAATAAAACGATATAACAAGTTTATCGATGACGTATTATTAGTTATAAACAAACAAAATTGTACGTGGCCAAAACGTAACGTGATGAGAGTTTTGAAGAATTTTCGCAATAACAAGCCGACGTGTTTCTAATATTGACCCAGAAATGAAATACGTGGACACGTTTATTCACCTAAAATACAGCATTTAATACCTACGATCAACTGGTGGACAAAAAAACGCGTAAAATTATTATTACATCGTACCGGTCATTTGCTATAGTTACCTACTGTCTAGAATTTGATTAACTTGATTTAGTTTTAATTTTAAAAAGCGAATTTCACTATTGCGTAGGTCCGTTTAGGTAGATATACAATACACATAATACAATTTCGCATCGTTAATAGTTAACAACGTACAGAAAGGTTACTTTTCAAAAGATTTTAATTTACCGGGAGGTTAACTATATTGCGTATATGCACTGCGGACGGTAAAATCGTAGGAAATATTTTTCACCTTGCGTTGTAAATAATCTCAGCGATAATACACGACAACGAAATAGATGAACATCACGTATTCTCATACGGGTATAATCTAAGGTTCAAGTTGTAATATTATTACATCTGTGTATGGAAGAACGCCTTCAAACGTGACGGGAAACTTTTATATTTATGGCTCTATTAAGAGAGGACGTCACAATACGTAAGCGAGCGATTTAACGAAATTTTGGAAAATGTATAAACTCGAAATTATTGAAATATTAATTTTCAAATTAATATTACGTACAAGTTTACAAGTAGGTATACGATTATTACCGAAAAAAACGTAAATTACTTTGTATAATATATTATAAATTGTTTAAAGATATCGTTTTCGTCGCCTACAGATAAAAGTACCCTCCTTTCAAACAAAATGATTAATATTGATGTAAAACTCCGTTAAATAGAATTAAAAATGGCTAGTGATATGACTTGACGTGACACCATACTTCAAGGTGCAAAATACAATTTATTTTAAAGTTCATTTTTATTTGTAATGCCGGTAAGATTATCAACAAAACATTCAAACCGCATTTATTTTTAGAAAATTTAAAGTTGCGCTTTTGTATTGTTTGGATCGCGATTCCGTATCGCGTTTGTCGATGATCGATTACAGTTTGGTTGGAATTCAAATCTAACTATCATCGTTCGATTTTTTGACGAAACTCTTAGTTAATGATCTTCATCTCAACAATAAACTCGCCATAATGAACAAGTAAATGTCTGAATTTCTTCTACCATCATACGGGTAAAACCGTGCGGAACAGCTAGTGCGATATATTATGTTTGGGCCATTTCCTATGTATTTTACGTGTTTCAGTCTGAAATAATCGCATTGTACATCAAATATACACTATAATATATAGAGCAATGTGCTTTTGCTACACTGTGCATTTTATTCGCGTATGTCGGTTGTGGCAGATATAAAACGCCCTTTTTCCCTATAATTTAAAATGAAGCTAGTAGTAGTATATATGCTTAATAAGTCACTTACCAAGGGTCTGATACCCGCGTAGCACCCAACAAGTATTATGTACCAACTGCGCATAAAATCTAAAAATTAAAATATAATATAAAGGTATACACCGTATACCTCCGGTGCTGGTATCATGAGTGTGGTGATACCCCGCGATGCAAGTTATAACTGCAAATAAATTCCGATTATGGAAGTCCGAATTTGAGCATGGTTGAGAAGAACGTTGAAAGGTAAAACCTTCAAAAAGCACATCTGCGTTTCTCAGATTTCATCACTTGACTTCATTCACAGAATAGTTTGCCCGTTACGTGTAATGTATGAATTTAACAGGCAGAATATTGTGCAATAGTAATGTGTATATATTACATACAAATACCTATACACATATATATATATTATTATTTTTGCAAAAATCTATATGCGTTATTGTGGGAGGGGCGCCAAAAACCTCAATACGTCTTTGTATGAAAATAATCGTGAATGCAAAAATGTATTTGTTTTAATTTTGTTATAGCTGTTATGAGCTGCTTATACAAAAGACGTAAATATTTTTCCGATTGAAATTTTCCATTTTGATAAAAAAAAAAAAAAAAAAATCGGATATGATTCGATCTCTACAAAATATTTAAAATTTTGTTTTTTACTATAGCGTCAATAGGTTATTAGCGTTAATAATTTATTTATCTTTTAATAAAGAAAATCAGACGTTTTCTTTAAATAGGTACCTATACACTGGTGTATCGGTAAATAAATGTGTAGGTATACGCACTTAAAAAGGATTGAATGTATTGCAAAAAATGTTTCTCACTACACTCGAAATAACATTCTATACTTATTAATCATTTATGACAAACATATTACTTTGATGTATATGTACGTGTAAATAACTTTTTACTGGGATACTTTTACAATTTTATTTTGGTCGTTGTTTGTGTAATAGTTTTTAAATTGCTTTATACTTAGTTACTAACAAATATTCGGATGATTATGCATTTTTTTTTTTTTTATATTCAAACCAAAATTATGTTTACGATTAATCAAAAGCTAGCGTATACTTTTAATGTACGAGTTTTCTGAAAGGTATTCGCATATATCCAAAAATATGAATCCGGGTACATGTCGTATACCCTCCAATACACTACAGTGAAAATTACGTTAATCGATGTATCGGTTTCAATTATTTTAAAATCAATCGGGTCCACCGGATTTAACGAAACAAGATGTATGTACTTAAAAACTCCGTGTCATTTATTCGCAACAGTATATTATGCAATACATATCGTTAAAAGTATTTTACGATTTTTAATGTGCTATTTTTGGTGCTTAAACACGACGATCCATAATTCACATGTGCACTACTGCAATTTATTGTACTGCAATAGACGACACGAAAATAATATATTACACAGATCTATTAAACTGTCTTTAATAATTTACATTATTTAAACGTCCGTTTTATTTTATTCGAAATTAATATTATTCCGTCTGTACTTATTGTTCACTGGTATCCTGTGTCCCTGCGTCGTCGTCGTGATGGTTTACGATTATTATTTGTCTAATAGATTTACGAAACGTTCCGTTTTGGATTTATATACACGAGTATTATGTACGTGAAATAACAATACAAACAGTGCAGGCGAGATCGTACGATTATTTTTAAATCACCACCGTGTCTGATATTTTGCAATATATTAAATTTATCGTTTGTGCCGGACACAAATGAAGTACGACATAAAATTTCCACGAACGATTTTCGACTAAATATTGGAATATAGATTATCAATAATGTTTCTTTATAGTTTATACACGGAAACATTTAATTAGACATTTGCGCAATTCTCGAAATCATGAACGTCCCGATCAAAACTATAATAAGATACTATAATAAGTACTCAATATCAAAAGGAAACCGCTGTTAAAAAGCCTTGTAAAACAGAACAAAAAGTCCATCAAAATGATTAAAACCGTGCCGATTATAAAGGTACCCTTATGTTTTTCTAGATAACAATCCTAGCAATTGTATCTCTTATATTTGCATCTAGATATTTCAAAATGTATAGCACTGACCATTAAAGTAGATCGATTGTACGCTATACGTCTTAATGAAATATTCCAGAAACATATTACCTATCCGTGAGTCTAAAGGACCCGTTTCGAGGGTATTCAGTTATTGTGTCTTGAAATTTACACAAAGTCGGGCAATCAACGGCGTAATATTATTTAAACAAACGCATATACTTAATTGACTTAATTTCACGGAATATTTATACAGACAAGGCGGAAAATTACAATAGTTTACGTTCAATGAACGACTCAACTCTTAACGTAATTCCATCTACTAATTAGTCTACGGTTGGCATTATTCAATTTTGATGTTATAAATAATAATATATGCGCATTACACAAATCCACGCATACGTAGATTTTGAAAAAAAAAATCGTTAATAATAATAATAGAATAATTGATTTTATAGAAGCTTTAACATCATTTAATTGAAAAATATTTCGTTAAAAAAAGATAAAATGGAAATGACAAATTAAAAAAAAAAAAAAAACAAATCCACAAGCGTAATAATTGAGAATTGTATTCATTCGACTGAAAAAAATTAAAAACAACGGAATATTCAATTTAACAAAGTGCCTAACTAAAGAAAATAAATGAGATAACCATAAAAATGTTTTGTTTTTCTTATGATGTATATTATTATACCTACTTCTTAAGTTATTGTGACCCGCAAAGATGATGTTTTACCTCCGTTTGTGCAGTCAAATATCATTATGCGAAAAAATACTATGATATGAGTAAGTATGTCAGTAAATTCCCGAATAAAGTCAAGTTAGGTTATGCTCAATATAAATCCAGCGTTAACAATTTAGAAATGATTTTTACTCTAATTGATTAGTATTTATTGTTAACAATTGTTTACTTGTTCTCTGAACATTTATGATTTTAGAGTTATACAACTTAGAGCATACATATATCATAAAATATAAGTTTAGGAAGATTATAGTTTATAGATTAATATAAGTCCTCTCGTATGACGATTAATTAAAGTTATACAATTGTTAAAAAGTTATAAATTTAAATTTAAACCGATTAAATTAATTAAATTAATAAATACATAATTATAAAAAGTAAATTAAGCGTGGTTTGATTCAAAATGCACTCGTTACTTATTAAGCTGATGTAAAAAATAATTGTTGAAAAGTTCATAGAAATATCAAAGGTTAAAAGTTACTAACTAAATTTTAACTTTTTAACTCGATAATGCACTGCGCACTTGCAGCGTTGCGAAACCGACGAAGCAACACAAGTTTAATACTAAACAGATGAATATAATTGTAAATATTCGCTTACGATACCGTAAATTATCTTATTAGTAACGTGAGGTTTGCATTTTGAATGTATACATAATACAAGTATAATCAAGTAGAATTGGACAGCGAAATGCTGACTGAGGGTTTTCAGCGCGTGCCCGAACGACGCCGATAAGAATGCGTCAGTAGCAATAGCAGTAATAGGAAATGTATAGTACTGCCGTGGAAGTATTCACTATCTCCGGGAAGAACATCACACCAGGGAGGATCCCAGAGTCGTCTACAGCTACAGAATTTCGCAGGTCACACTCACAAATCTCGCTACCCTCAATTGGCCATCCTGAAGGTGTAAGATGGTATTAAAATAATATATCATATTGATTAATGTTCAATAATGTCAATACTTACCAAGGTCACCTATGTCCACAGTATAAGAACATTTCGTTTCAGAAAAGGTGTTATACTTGATATTCAGAGTTAGCTTTCTGACAGAAAAAGTGTTAAAAAAAAAAAAAATAAACATCATTGTAAAACCAATACATTCTTCGCTAAACTCAAAATTTAAAAATAAATACCATTGTAAACCCAGTAGATTCATCGCTCCACTCAGAATCTAAAATGAGAGCGTATCAACGGTTAATTACAGTGATGGTGACAGGGATTGAAACAGGGAATCCAGAGGGAAAACGTTTGTATTACATTTGTTTGGCAAGGGCAACGTCGGGCAGGACAGCTAGTATTTTGTTTAAATTATCAGCAATTAATTTTAAAACATCTTTATAATGAATACCTATAAAGATGTTTAAATGGTTGAAAAATATAGGTAGGTAACTTATACATAATCATAATAATGTTTAAAGAATTTAGAGAATGTATTGTATAGGAAAAAAAGGGTAATTTACTGTAGGAATATATCACATTGCGAGACACTGTGTATACGGAGTGAATACCTTCGATGAAACTAGGATCAATAAGTAATTCGTTTAAACGCACTACGTATATAAATATACGATTTTAATATTGTTTTTTAGCTTGAATAAAAATCGTTTTACGATAAAAAAAAAAAAAAAAAAAAATACCAAATACAAAACATACTTGACTTCTATTCTGTTAGTCGTAATATTATGGCCCATATATACTCAAAACCATCGATTGGGAAATTCTCAAGATAAATTACATTAACGTAGATGAAATAAAATATTACGATAAAGAAAAATTATTTCGATGACTTTTATGATTCCGAGTGGGGCGAGTTATTATTTTTGTACAAAATATTTTGTATTCGCCCGAATATCTGTAAATGCTTTACGAATGCATTTTTATGAAAATGCACATTTTTTTTTTTTAATGTCAAATGTTGACTAATTGAGTACGCGTAATAATTATGCGGTAGGTAAATTGTTATAAAATCTAAAGCGCTCGTATTCGGTCCACCCTCTCCTGCTATGTGTTTATTCTGAGCTAGAATTAAACACCTGATATCATTTAATAGGATTAAACAATTTTTAAGCTGCAGTATAGTACGTAAGGCTAAAAAATTCACGACAGAACCCCCGCCACTGCAAGTTTTGCAATGACTTACAAAGTCAACCAAAAGATTAAACTTTATGCACGATACTTGTCGTTTCGCCCGGCATTTTTTTACTTAGAAAACTGGGATTACAAAATACATATACAACCGTACACGAAATTATACAGAATATTACATATATTATTAAAGTGGACGTGTTTATTTGTATTAGATGTTTTCAGTAGATTACTCACCCTGTATATAACACGCTAATTTATATAATTCTTATAAATCGTAAATTATCAAGGTTATGAACTTATTGCAATTGCCTTAGCGGAAACTGTTATTTTACTTTTATACGTGTTTTAGATATTTATCCCGTTTTTATTTCATATATTTTTTTTTTTTTTGTATTCAAGAAGCATTTTTTTTGTTTGTTTTTTTCTCGTAAAATTATTTTTGAATTAGTAAAATATTTATAATTTTTTCATGCCATTATATCTTAACATGGGCGGATCTAATAGCAAATAATACTATTTAAAAGAACTATCCTAAATATTTTTTTTATTTATTAACTTTTAGGTAAGTAAATGCCCTAATATTTTCACACAATAACTCAAAAAATGCAAAATTTTTGTTTACCAATACTTTATTCGGAACACTTTTTGAGATTTTCGAGAGTTAACCTCCGAAGGTCTTGTTTTGATATTTTACTCGAATAACACTTTTTCGGTTGAAAAATGTTCCAAATTATGTCAATTGTACATTAAAGTATGCATGGTGTTTATTTGAAAAAGATGTCTAGATTTTCATCGATTTTTCTACAAGATTTTAAGAAAACCGACAAGAAATGGTGATACGCATCAGTTATACGTTTATTGATTTACTGACTACTAGAAAAAACCACGACTAAGAATTATACTCCACTTGGAATAGTTAAACACAATAGTTGGAAACGAATAGGTTTTTGATTGTAATGGCGTATAGCTGCTTTCGGTATATAAATTAAATGATCATAAATACATTTCAAACTTTCCACCTAATTTAGTGATTACTCGTACTTTTTTTTGTGCAATTTTTATTTACAGTAATTATTAAAATAAACATCAGGCAAAGACGATTCATCTATCTATACATAATCTCAATGATACAGGACGCTTATTTAAAATATCGTTTATAAAACAATCGATTTTCAGCGTTAAACATTTTATCGAAAAAACGTTTTATCTATTTATTTGAACATTTCGAGTTTACATTGTTTATTTGTGGCGGGGACTTTATATGGTTTTTCTAATGTTGTTTTAGCAAGTTCAATTCGCAGCTATATTCATATTATTCTCAAGCCATACACGAGTACGAGCATTCGGAACCTATACGGGACCTATGAGTATCATAGTCACCACCCGCCGGGGGGGGCGGTGCGCGAGTTCGACGCGGGCGACTAATTGATGATGGTCACGAAGAATATAATAATATACTCGAAATTAATTGTCGGGTCGATAATTGATAACTGGATAACAATGATATAACGACTGCACCATTGCAATATATTACTCAGTAAAAAGGTTTTTTTATTTTTATTTTTATTTTTTTTTAATACTGTATACTTCGCTAAACCCCATTATGCTCGATCGTCTCGGCGAAAATAATATTATTACAGACTTGGCGGCGGCGGCGACGTTTCTATACGTTACGAGAGTGTGTATGTACAGCGTACGCACACACAAATTTTATCTAGTGTTTGGCGCGCCGCCGCCGCCACCGAGAAAGGTAGAAATGAACCGAGGCGACGAATCGTATTTCCCGTATACGGTTCGAGTGTATACAGAGTTAATGGTGTTTGCGTATTAAATAATATACAGAGTGATTTTTTTTTTTTTTTTGTAACGCACTAGCCATCATCGTTTTTCGCGCCTATTTCGAACGAATACGTTTGAATAGGTTTAAAGAACTTTTGGTTATTTCAGATATAATAAAATCGTTTGATGATCGTATGTTTTTTCTTCTCAAAATTTCACCCATATTTCTTCTACCAAAAACACGTTATATCAAGTCACTATTGATTTAAAAATAATATAACGAACCCACGTTTTTAAATTCCGGTTTTAAAAAATAATATATTATATTATATACATTTGAATTTCCATAATACTAATATATTAATTTAAAAAAAAAAAAAAAAAAAAAAATCGTTTGTATAGATTATTTATGGGGGGATACTATTAATTATTTGTAATAGGAGTGAATTGAGAGTTTAACAAATGATTCGGAGATAATTGTGCAGCATATACAAGTTAAGGTATTATTTAAACAATTGTTAGTGCTGTTAAATTTAACATGGTTTAGAGGCTTTTAAATGTTATAAATGTAATTTTTGTCTAAGTTGTGTTAATCGGTTCACAACGTGAACCTATAATGGCTCGACAAAGATTTTCTTATAAATATTGAGGAAGTCTAGTCCAATTATCTTTATTGACTAAAGGCATTTCTTAAATATGTTTTAAAGTAAAACTATTATATTAAATAAATACGTATTGTATCACAAATATTCATCTTCACTTGTTACATTTTTTAATAATAATTTGTTTTATTATTATTATTATTTATTTATTAATTGATATTTCAATATAGGAGGTAGAGACCGGTCGAAGTCCCAATATGTGGGTAAGGGAAGGTACTGTAATCTGAGTTCAAAAGTGTTGGTTGATATTTGAAAATTAAAAATCGATGTTATACGGTTCATGTGGTATACGGAATAAAGGTAAACTTTTTGAAAATAAGATTGTATATTGATTCTAAAAAACCATTAAATAAAAAATCCAATGCCATGGAAGAATAAATTTGTATTGAAGTATTATAATAGGTTTGTTTCAGAATTAGTGTTGTAAACAAGTTATTAACTGATAATAACATATCTTAACGCGCATGCGTCTAAAATAACAAGTTGGCAACTATAAAATTATATCCGCTGGAACTATTTTACTAAACTCGCATGCTTGTATTAAATTGTTTATCAATTTTAATTTTAATTTTTAAGTCTTTTTCTATCTTCTGAATATGCTTCGTCGTCGCTGTCTAATAAAAAAGCATCGCTAGACGATGATAAAGAGGACAAGGAGTTGAAAAATTCCAAATCCATATTCCGTAATGTCCAATTTTAAATGTACAAAATCAAGAATTTCACGTTGTAATTATGCGCGAAGTCTTTTTGATTGGTTATCCTTATCATGAGTGTCAACTGACTGTTGTAAACAAGAATTATATATCAGTTCCCGTTGTACGCATGCGCGAAACACCTGACTGGACGTACAACACGCAACAGAAAATTTTTGTTTCCAACAACTTAATAACATGTTGCAGCGCTGATGGAACAAATCAATTTTGCAAACATTTTGTTAGAAGTAAATAATTAGCTTTGCTGGAACGCGTCTTTGAGTTTGCATATGCGCCGAAAGTTTACAACATAGAAAAACACTGTGCTGGAACAAACCTAATATTAGCGTACGAGGCAGAGGGAAAAGTAATGGAATCGAGAACAGGGCAGTCGCGAACGCTACCGACCAAGTGCTATAAAACTCGTACGAATAATAATAATACATTGCATTGCATAGATATATAAACAATTGAATAAAAAATGTTCAACCGAAATCGGGTTTGGACCGAAGAGTGCCCGTCACTGGCTCAAAAGCAGGTCATCGCTGTCCATTTTCTGTCGTTTATAATAGATCATTGTACGCGTATTAGTGAATGAGTTTCAGGTTTTTTTTTCCGCCAAATCTAGTAGATTTTTATTTTTAAGGGACGTCGTTTCGACGTATTATATTGTTCGGCGAGGATATGTGAGTGCGCAAAATCGTAACAGTAATCGCAAGACGGAAATGACGACGTCACGGCTCGTCTCTAGAGAAAATCTAAAAATCGACTACGGCGTTACCGAGGGGACCTCGCAGTAGAGAATGAGATCATGAACAAACTATACGAAACAAAAAAAAAAAAAAAAACTTCAAAAAATGTTTATGATGAAGTGCGGCCGAAACACAATTGGGAGATTGCCTTTTTTCCGAAATGACGGATAGTCGGACGACGTGCGAGGGTGCGAAGAAGCATTAAAAATCCTATCACGCGTGATACTAGACATTATATATATTATACCTCGTATACAATATTGTTATTTTATTACATCGCGTGCGTGACGATTCGCAAGGACGTTATATATAGGGTGTTAAGTCGATAAAAACAAAACTGTCAAAGTAAACGGGTAAAAAAAAGAAAAAGATCGAAACGATTACTGTTGACTGTCGAGCGTTGAGCGTACGATTTGGCTGAGGATTGACAGTCGCACGCAAAAGGTACCTATCTAATTTCGGAATGTTTCGTTTAATAAAGTAAATACCGACAGAGCAGCGACGATTCCGATCGACCGGGAAGTCATTCAAACGGAACGAAATGTCTGCGTCCTGATGTATAATTATTAAAGCACAGATGCGTTTGTATGCCCTAAAAACTTTTAAATTTTTATCTAGGAAAAAAAAAACCTGGTAATTCGAAAAGTTTATTTATCATGGATGCGTTTTCAGGTAGGAGCAGGGGGTCAGTCGAAAAATTAATTATATCAGAATTTTCACGGAAAACGCGATACTGTGTGTTTACGTTTCTATGATTTTCCGTGCGGTGGAAAAAATTATTTATTTTTATTATTATATGCATGGGTCCATGACCAAGTAAAACAAACACGATGACCAAAAAACAATTGTTCTTATGACTGCAAATTATCCCCAGATTTGGTTAAAAATAATAAAAAAATAAATACTTTTTACATATAACGTATCGCCGTGTTTTTTTTCTAATTGAGTACAACGGTTGTTCGATAATTATTACTCATAATTTCATTATAGTCAATCTTTTAATTCTGGGAAATAATTTATTCGTGAATTAATTAATAGATCGTGCCTGTGTACTTAATCGTTATTACAGTCGGTACTAAAGAAAATGTTTTGTATTTTTCATAACGTCATTATAATTTAAAATATAAAATATTTTCTAAAATAAAAAAACTTAGTGATCAAAAATATTTTTTTCTAAAATATGGGATCTAAAGTTATTAATTCGATTTTTCAGCATATTAAAAGTTCAGTAGAAAATGTTTATAAAAAATGTACCAAATCCTCATAAACACGCTCTAAAAGTGTACAATGTATTAAAATTGACCGTAAATATACAAAAACATTAAAGTAGTATTATAATATGTTGTACTTAAAATCGTTAGGTCATAAAACAAATTTTGATATAAACTAGTTGTTTTATTAATCAACCAATAAAAATATGTAAAAGCATATTATAATTATCTACCCTATCAAATAATAATAATAATAATAATAAACGGGAATTCGACATCTTACACCAATATTCTACTTATACGGATACATATTGCAATTTAGATAAATGTAATTAACAATACGTTATTATTTAATTAAACATTTTAAAATAATACATGCCTATGGTTAATGATGATATTTTTGAAGTTTTGTATTTTAAATGAATTTTAACGACTTAAAAGTTCAGGATGTGGTTTTATGCTTTTTCTACCGGACGGGAAATACTTCACCGATAACTATAGTTGTAGATACTAAGTCGGGAGGATATGGAGTAGTGATTCCGAACGTCAGTACCACTGCCATCTAGTGGATGTATTTAATTCGAAGGGATTTGAGGGTCGTTTCACTTGACGATTCTTCTGTCATCACTTGTGTTTTTAAAAACAGATATTCTACATGAACTCTGTTAGCTAATTTGATACAACTTAAAGGACGCGACTATTAAAGCCATTTTCTGTTTTTCGTGTAACTATAGGAAATTTAGAAATTTAAAAATAAACACCACACTGAAACAAATTTTCGATCACTCTGTATAATATTAAAATAATATTACATCTACGTAGCGCTGAATTCACGTGGCTTAATCGATGATCCGCCGATTGTTGCCCAAAGTCTCGCCCGACAAAGGTGACCGTTAAAGCTTTTTCTCGGAGGAGGTAGTACGTGAGAGTTAGTCGTGCGTATTGCAGGAAGGCGAGGCAGGGTTTATTTCAGTGGTTCTCAATAGAGGCAATAAAGCCCCTTGAGGAAAGGTACTGCAAGGAGAAAAACTGTTTTTACTAGTGAGGGAGAGCGGCTATCGTTTTTCCCATAAAATTTTCATGTAATCATCGAACTAAATTAAGTTATTTTTTGGTTATACTTGAGTATTTTAATTTTTAATTTTTTCTTATAAAGAACACTTAAAATGTACTATTTTTATTTTTATATTGGTCATTTCAATTTTTTATTTTTTGTGTTGCAATTTAGCCCCACTCTTTTTTACCATACGCTTAATTATGGGTGTCATTTGTTCCTCGAGGGGGCATTAACTTTAAAAAGGTTGAGACACACTGTTTTATTTCGTTTTTCTTATCTATACAACCCACACAAACGGCCGCTTGGATATACTCGTATGTTTATAATAATAGCAAACTCCCGTCATTTGTCCGTGCAGATGGCGTCCGCCTCGAGAAATCTTCGCTCGTCTTGTTTGCGATATGCAAATTATACGCTACCGTGCACCCCACCGAAACACCTGTTCGTTATAAATAAATACAACAAATTCACTGAATTGTCAGCTGAATCCTGCTTATATATGCTTAGACGCGTTGACGTATATAGGAAAACAAATATGCATACGGTTAGGTGAGATTAAGTTACCATAAGGTTTGGTAATCCGTTTATCTCGGTAAGTATACAGGGTCTTCCAAATGAAATGTTCCAGTTTTGTGAATATATTCCTGTATATATTTTGTTGGTGTAAAAAATAATACGTTTCTATAACTGAGCAGTAATACTTTCCCTAATGGTAGCTTAACCGAACTTTAACCACAGCGTCATATTTACAAAAAAAAAAAAAAAAAAATAATAATAATAATTAAGTACCCATTAACATTAACGAGAATATTTTAAAATACTTTTCTTACATGCGAATCGAACCAAAAGAAAACTAATTTATTTTTCATTAGCAGACTACGCAGTTGTCTTCGTTTAACTTTTAAATTCGAATTTATATCATGGTGTACCATATATTTTCCATAGCTTTTTGTTGTTGGTTTTTTCTCGTTTCGCCATGAAAATTGTCTGTTCCGTTTAGAAATTTACCTTTTTTTTTATATACATAGTATTATATAAGAATAGATGACGTCCGATTCGAAATTCGATTGGAAAATACTATGACTTTTATCGGTGAATACGCATACGGTACCACATTCATAATTGGAATTTTATTGTGAAAAAAAAGTCACGCAAAGTATTGCGAACTCAAATTAATAAAATAATATAATTTAAACTGGATGGTAAAAGCATTTTTAACTATTATTTTAGTAATATTACTCCATCGTCAAAAATCTGACCTCATGGCACGACGGCGCCATCAATATTATAAAATACGTGAATATAAAATATGTCATGTAAAAAAATATGTCAACTGTTAATCAATGTTCAGCGAGAAATAATAGCTGATACTATATTTCTTTTCTCTCTTCATTTATTATTTCTAGTTTGTGCGGTTCATCAACAAAATCGCATTCCGACAACCTCATCTCGTCTTATACCAAACGAGAAAATAAATCAAACACAATAATTCACAAACAGACATTTGTCTTTACATAATATAAAATATTATTTTGTATTTTAATAATGTTTGTATATTTTTTTTTTGGACTGCAAACGGCTCTCGCAATAATTTATTATACGTTACAAAATTCGCATTTTTCATCTAACTCGTTACACCGCACGAATCGCGTGTTTTCGATCAGTATATTGTTAAACAGAGTGATCCACGTATCGTTTCAATCCAGCGATTTTCTCGGATGATTTTTTAAGTAAACTGGATTTCGGTTTTTTCAATCATTATTAACTGCACTATTTTGAAATTTCACGCCATTAATTTGTTTATTAAAATCTCGCCGATATTTGAATATATCTGGGTAAATATTATTCTCTATATTTTAATTAATTTTTCTTGATTTTTACGAATTTGATCAAATTCATAATTCAAACCTCTTATAAAAATAGCGTGTGCCATTGTTTTATACGCTCAAAATTCTTCTCCTTTCCTATCAGTTATAACAAGACAACAACTATGTTTAAATTTGACTAGTGTCAAATAGTTTACGATTTCAAAGAAATATGTAAGCCGAAAAAACCTCTCGAAAATTTCAAATACCTAAAAATATAACTCAAAAAGATATATTGAAAAGTATACCGTACCACGTCTACAGAAAATTCTAATCTAGGATAATCTAGATTATATCTAGAAACCTTATAACTTTATACCTCTCAAAGCTATATCGTTTTCAAACATCATTCACTATGGTATCTCCTCTGACGCGTTGTCCCTGCGCACGTTGAAAGTGGGATAATCTCTCAAAACCTTGTTTAAAACTATCCTTTTATATTTTTTACAGAATCTTATACCGGCTTGACACCTGTCACCTCTTACGACAGGTGGATGTACCATTGGAGTATTCTGATCCCTTCTCATAGGGAAAATGGTATTGTCAACTATAAATTAAATTCCTTTCTACTGGAATCACCCACCTGGTCTTTCTACCGATTGGAGCTCGGGGCCCCGGTTCGCTAAACCTGTAGCATCACATTATGCTCCCCTGAAATGCATTGTATTCATTAGTACAATTACAAATATAGAACAATGGCTGACATTAAATTTTGGTGTCTTTAGAGTGTTTGGTTTCTGGTGATTTTCGTTTTTTATTTTTATTTTCCTACAAATAAGCCAAAAGCGCTGACTGCCTTATTATCACGCATCGACTTACATAGAGAAATATGTAATTATTTCGACTACAAATGTATAACTTCTAACACGACGAATTATTTATTTAGAAAAAACACCAACACTATTAAAACCTTCTTCTTATTTGGAGTTAATTCAACTCCAATATTTCTACACCGTAGTAATATGCATGCAAATGTGGTCGGTAAGAACAGCTCTAGTTTACCAATGTTATTTGAACGCATATAATATATCCTCTACACTGAATTTATGTAAGGTTTTTTATACCAGAGGGATCGTTTGAATGGTGTACCGATCACAGTGGTCGGAAACATTTTCGTAAAATATATTCCGAAACGAATTACGTTAAACGTAAACGTACCTACAAGTACGTTTCACATAACGAATGCCGAAAGAGCTGCAGTTTTTGTGTCTTCGGATATCAGTAGAAAAAATAAAAATAAAAACTGAAACGAACCGATATCACAATATATTATACAACACTCTGACGTCACGTCAAAAAAAAAAACCGCACCAAATTCGATATTCTAAGATACCACATCCCGTGGGGGTCCGAACTTTAACGTCATATGAACATCAATGCGTTTACGTGACACGGAAATATTACGCCTCACTTAACTTAAATGATTAGGTTAAGGAGTTTACATTAGAATTTCAAGGTCCTCTCGTCGACTTTTCATTAAATTCTATTTCCCAACAAACAATTTTGAATTTTTTCTTTTTTTTTTTATTTTGAATTTATTTTATACTTAAAAGCAATCGAAAAAAAAACTTATCTAGATTTTCGGTCAAGCCGGAATGTGTATTTAAAGACCGTTAACAGTCCGACATGTAAATATGTGACTCGTCGTGGTTTTTTATCAACTAGGTTTTAGGTTTATGTGGAGGACACCGACTCTCTTGTTGGCATTATCGGATTCGGACCAGCCGCTAATAGGTAAATCCCGTTCCTGCTTTACCTAAATCCGTGGTGACTTTTCATCGACTAGGACCTAGACAGTGACAAGTCTAGTTTGTACAAACTAGTAAGTTATGTTTTGCAAAACTTAAAAAACTCTTAAAATCAATTCAGTTTCATATTTTCGTCTTGGTCCGAATTCGGATACGGTATGCAAATACACTACGTTTTAAATTAAACGCACATGTAAAGATTTAAATTAACGTATATTGCGTATAGTGCCCGTTTTATATACATACAGTCTACATAATATATTGATTTATACATTTAAAAAAAGTACGCATAACTTCTGATTATGAACAAAAATATAATTACAGTAAGCCGAGTAAGATACAAACTTATTTTGTGTATTGGATGTGTTGATTTTCAAACAATATTGGAAATAATGTAACACCCGTTGACAGAAATCCAATTTTTCTTTTTTATCAGCATAATTATCCATATAATTTATACGGTTATTAATAACCATATTTAAGAATACTTAATATACTCGATATTTAAGAATACGGCTATATATAATTCGATAGATATACCAATAATATTATTATTTAATACCCTATAAACTAAATTACTCAATAGGATTATTGCTGTTTGATATTTTCGAAATAGGAGTAGGATATTTATAATTAAAATAACGTATAATGTTTTTTTTTTTAATCTAAAATACATTACATACCAGTGAAATCACACAACTATTGGGTTTGTGTTTGATATTTTCCTGGTGCATGTGTGTATGTATTTTTTTTTTTTTTATTCAAGTATATTCTCGCTAGGATTATTGTTGGATGAAACGGATCCTAAATAAACGTTTACGCTGACCACTTATCGCTTCGCTATTGATTTTTACTTTCCTAAACCCACACATCACCCCACGTGAAACCCTGACAATTACAATCGTGTTTGTACAATGTTAATTTTTTATTTCGTTTGTGGATCACGTTCCAAATAAATTGACATTTTATAAAATTAACATATTATTTATTAGATAGGAAAAAAACCATCAATACGGAATGTCAATATATTAAAATATTTTAGTTTAGTTTTACACATTGAATATGTAACAAAACCAATTGATCGATTTTTTTTTCAATAAGTATATTTGTGTTGTGTTTTTAAGTTTTATCGTAAATTATTGTAAAATTTTGGATCACTTAACGTCATATTTTAATTTTAAGCATAGAACAATCGATGAAACAGTTGACGAAAATTTTACAAAGGTATAATATAATACAAATATCATGTAGGTAATATTATAAGAAAAACAAAATAGTTTTGTTCGGTTAGACGGCGTTTCAATGGGCAAATCGTATGGCACTCATGTGTTGATGTCAAAAGGGAAGGAAAACGTACGACGTGACAAAAAGAGAGTACTACGGCATCGTATTATAGAAGCAATGAAATAAATATCAAAAAAACAATAAGTCGCACATTTACAAAAGTGCCATTTAAAGGTGTTTGCTTTAAAAAAAAAAAAAAAAAACATTATTATAGTTAAAGACTATTTTTTTTTTATCCTATATCGGTATCGTTAACCTTAATAGTATATTTATCTTTATTAATAATTCTTATACTACGACGTATAAACGGTATTGGCAATGTAATAAAACAAACTTGAAACGTCGATAAAAAGCTCAAAAATCGACAAAATGTTTTTAACGGTTTCACTATATCTTCTAAGTGATCGGCAATATAAGTAATCTGTGACAATTTTAGATCTCTGCGATTGTTTTTAACCGAACTACAACACAAAAACAAAATCGAAAACTAAAAATCTATTATTGCTGTACGTTTTCCCGTTTTTCAATCGATTTTTCTCAATTGATAAGAACTTTAGAAGAAAAAAAAAAACCACCTCCCAAATACACTAACTAGAAAACATTTTCCTTTAAAATGGTTACTACACTTACAAGAAATCAGAATAAGATCTCTGGAAGAAAAATGGTTAACAAACAGAAAAAAACATAAAACTTAAAAAAAAAAAAAAACAAATTATATGAAAATACAGTCTTTCATTTATAAATAGGATTTAATTTTAAAGTTTTTTGTGTTAAGTTTTAATATTGTTTAGCATCATAAATTCAATATCCATATGACTTCTTTTTAATATATTTTAATAGAATATTTAAACCGTTTGTGTCAATCCGAAATTCTATTCCTCGGAAACTGAAATTTTCGGAAAACGCTATTTTGATGGCTGAGGAAAAACTACTGTTACGACGAGAGGAAATGGAGAGAAATAATTCGATTTAATCACCTCCACAGTCGTTAGTCTGTTGGATCACGACGACTACGAGAATTACGGTTTTTTGAAAAACAATTCGGGACGAAGCGCCACTTCGGAATTATCGACTTCGGAAAGACATTCCGGTGATTTCACAGGATAGACGCTTCATCGATAAGTCGTTTACAAAAGACTAGGGAATGGTCACGCGGTGGTCGTTAAAAATCAGAAAACTCTTGACGTCGGAGTTAGGTCGGGTATTTTAACGATAAACTCAACGGTACATAGGGTGAACAGCGCCTTCCGCTGAACGATATAAATTTGCAATCGTATTTAAAAAAAAAAATAAATAAACAAATCCACTTAAACCGAGCAAATGTGGTGTCGATCGTTGAATTTTCAAGGGAAAGTTTCTTAGAGACCGTATGTCATTTTGAGTTTTTTTTTTTTTTTTTTTGGAAGGTTTTGGACGAAACACACAATTGGATATTATATACAACGTAGGTAAATTATAACAAAATAATATGTATACTGACGAGTTTTTTTTATACATGTCTTGAAGACTTTACAGTACACGTAGTTTGGTGTTGCATGCAGATTAACAGATTAATCACATATACAGGATGATTCATACATTATACATACATTTTATAAAGCGTTATTTTCAAGAATTATTTTTTAAAAAAACAAACATTAAACATACTACATTAACAAACTCCCGTCTCAATGACAAATTGGATATTGCTATTGTATTTCACAATATTACTTACAAAAAAACTACAAAAATAAAAAAAATACGATTTCTCGCATTGAATTGCTTGGTAAATTGTAATAACTTAATATAAATATATAGGTACAAAAAAACTATATTAATTTTTTTACTATAAAATAGTAATTAATATTGCAATTTTTTTTGTTACTAGTATACGGGTATGTATTTATATTAAGTTATGAACACAATAATAAAGGATAAACACAACAGACAAACATATTTTTTCTATTCCTCGTTTATTTATTATCTTTATGTTCTGGACTCCAGCGATCGTTATCTACGGGTTCATAACGATTTGTAACCATCAAAATGACATCTGAGTGAGCGAAGCGCTCACATATTTATCAACGACGGATCAAGATCACGGTTATAGATAGAATGGTTGCACAACGAGTCGAAAACAACTACCACTAATGTTCTTATCAAAAATATGAAAATTTCCCTACCACAAGGCGTGATCTGGTTAAAGTGTTCACAACAATTTTGATTAATACAACTATACCTTAAGTATATAAGTTTTACTTCGCAGTTCTATTAATTCACTTATAGTTCCACCGGAAGCGCTAGATGTCTGGGGTTAAATGCTAAATTTGATAAGAATCTTTTCGGCCATAGACCGCCATACTATACGATCGTAGACTTGAACATCTAGACAGAATATTAAGCATAAAACCGCGTTTCGGTGGGAGGAATTTCGAGTACAGAAACACGTGAGATTATAAACGGAATGTTTTAATTGGCTATTCTCGGAGTATTAATTTGTTCTGTCACACTAGGGGTTATATCAACTTATCTTTCTTGATTCATTCGGACCGACCACGCCCCCCCAGTCCGCGGGTTGAATGTTCCGTTTAGATGTATAAGTCTGCGTGTGTGTATTGTACATCTGTGCAATCTTAGATTTAGTTGACTCGCAAACGCGATCGAATACATAGTTCACGTTTGATTTAAAATGGATTCCAAAAGAAAAGATATGTTCAACATTGAAACAAAAATACCTATATCGGTGTACTAAAATACAAACTATAGCTTTGGAAAATACGATTCCCTTCTTATCTTACATAACGCATTGTGGATTATAATTTATAATCTTTTAGGTAGACATATCTATAAAATATGCTTTATTCAAACTAAACAAAACCAATGAATATATAGGTACCTGGTACATAGTAATTTATTTACTTACCAAGAATTAGGAATAGGTAACAATTATCGGTTATTTGAATAAAAAAAGTTAAGCGGTGAATTATTCGTAAAATCACTCCTGGATAAAATCCTCGAAAAAAGAGTCTTACTAATAACTCCCCCTTGGCCGATTTCCGATCTTATTCCACACGTTACCCGCGATCCGCACGGTAGAGATTTAATGGGACATCAGTTCCGCCAAACCATAATACGAGTACGCGTAATACGAAAACGCGCGGTAATATTTTATTCACAAGGCATTTTGGATACCGGTTATTATTTAAGGGGGTCGCCCTGGGGTCGATAAGCTTTTAGAGAAATAACAGTATTATGCGACGTGGTTGAATTTAATATTTTTTAAAAAAAAATGTCTACGTTATTTCCTAACGACTCCACTTGTATAATTTTGACGAGCAAGAGCAATACTTACAATGAATCTTGTTTGAAATACTATCGGACAGGTGTCCAAGAAGAAAAAAAATAACAACCAATAGATATTTCGAACGCAACACAAAATGATTTTACTTTTTCTAGGGTAGTGGTCAATTATTCACCTGCCTGTTCGCCAACACAATCACGAGTCGAACGGATTTTCTTTTCGGCAACCTCGCCCGATGGTAACTTAGTATACCGCTGCCGCCATATCAAGTGCAGTAAAAAGAGAACGTACTCTGTTATAAACGTATACCGATAACATTTTATTTGTCGATATTTCCCTATTACCTGGATTTATAAAAATAACCAATGACTCTGCGAATTACTTACACCGAATTGATTTGCCCACGCGCGCGTACACGCAATGACAAAACATAATTATATTATAAATTAATTTGAAGCGCGTTTGGTGTCAGCGAACCCTGATAATTGATATTATTTACAAAATTAATATTGTTCATTATCTGCGCATTGTGTTGGTACATAATCAATTTCCTTTCCGTTACACTGTGGCCGTGTTAATAAACGGCAGGTACCTATATATACGACGGTTACGCATATAATCGTTGTCAATTACAAAATTTATTTTCCCGAAGGGATTTCGGGTACAAATTCACTTAAACGTAATTGTTTAATCGAGGTTTATACAATCGACATAAACGATTAAACCAACTCACTCCTCTTTTTAGTTAACGTTTATCTGTTTAATAGTTTATCTATGATAAATAATTGAAAGGAGCTCCGGTGAACAATTATGAACGATTTTAGAAAATCGCGATTTAGTTGTTTTTTTTTTTTTTTTTATAGATGATAATTTCACCGGAACAAACGTTGAGAACAAAATAATCGCGCGAATCGGTAACAGCCTAAAGTCGGGTTCACACGGTTAAATATTTTGCATTTGTTAAACATCAAATATTTGTCTGAAATAGCGATTCGCAATATTAAATACATATTTGAATAACTATAAAATTCAAAAGTCAGTAATAATTAATTCAATTGTTGGTAACATAATTAACTACGTACACATTTAATCGGTAATTCACAGATTACAAAATATGTAAACTGTGAATACGTATGAACAACCATATTTCTTTAACGATAAATTAATATATTCTTAGTGATTTATTTGAAAAATATCGAAAAGACCGGATCAAATATTCCGAAGTTAATCACAAAGTTGTCGGCGTTTGACAAACATCAAATATTTTGTCCGTTTGCACCACAGAGCCGGTCGTTTCGGCGAAAAAAAAAATATTTTTTAAGCTTTCACGATACATTATCACCGTTTAACGTTATTTCTTTCTCGTAAATAAACGTTAAACAATAATTTACAACCGTTTTATGAACAATAAGTATAAAATCAAATCGTCCGTTCATTCTACAAATGTCTGTTCATCATATCCAATTTCAATCTTATTTTTAAACTGGTCAATACCTTTCATGACCGCAACATTGTTCCGCGAACTTCGCGCACAATGGTTTTTCGTTGACAATAATAACTCATCGTCGTGTTCAAATATTTTATAAAATAACACTGTGTGTCCTTCTTTCCCAACTTTTCGCGCATAACAGTGGCACGCACACCAGCAGTATCCACTTTTTTATGATGTAACAATATTAATAAATATATTATTTCGAATTATGATAATATATTTTTCTATTTTTTTTTTTTTTTTATTTAGTTTATACGTGTTATTTTATTAGTTGAAAATAACAGTAGGTAAATAGTAAAAATTTAAACAATTATATTTCACGTCAAAATGACTTAATGCCGAAATGTCCTGGACCTTGTGAACCGGGTTTAATTACAAAATTAATTAGATTTTATGTAGTATAAAAACGCAATATGCACAAATTAGGTCATAAAAAGGGATACTACTGATAATACATAATGGATAAGCCATCATGTGTATACCAGTTATACGTAGTGGGCAGCGTTACCGTTAGGGGAGAGAGATAGCAATAATATTGGTTATGTCAAAATAGTGTCATATCTATTTTACTCAATGAACGAATTGACTTTTCTTCCATGAATAATTTTTCGTTACCACGCGCATAGTAAAAACTGGCCGTGTGCTTTATATAATTTATGTGTCAGTTATACACAAGCTTCAGGAACGCCTAAAAACCAATACAGCCATAATCCGTTCTGTATCATCTATGCCGTATACAAACATACGCGTGTTCGCGTTTCCGAAAATAATATTTTCAAAAGTCATCCACAAACATCAAAAATCATTTATGGATCACTTAGGCTCCGAAATGAATTAAAAGTTAAAATAATAATAATGATAATAACAGAAGAGCAGGAGGATCGATTTCACTGATCCATAATGTAAACGGAGCTCTGATGCGAAAAGCGATTGAGCGATATTTCATATCGTAACGTTCCAAGATTATAATGTTATATTTTAATATAACGATTCGGGAACATCAATCATATGATTATATACTCGTTGGAAAATAAAAATTTATTCAACAAACGCGAATATAATGTTTTTTTTTTTTTTTTTAATGAAAAATCTATGTATACGTATTTCTTAAAAAAAAAACCATTCGGTCAAAAAATCTTTGACATTTCACTGCGACTCGGAAATTGTTTGAGCAATATCTTTTAATCTCCTGAAAATTACATTAGTATCGATTGTGAATGATATTTTTTTATTTGAACCGCTTTATTGTGTGTTTATTTTAGTCTCGACAAACATTGACTTTGCTCCGAAAGTTTTCCATCGGAACCGACCAAACAACAATGACTTACGCGGCTGCATGACGTAAAATACGTATAATATAACCGACGTTTTCTGCCAAACTTAAAATATTTACCACAATGAACAACTAAACAGAATTTATAAAAGTATAAAAATTTGAACTCGGTCAGACAAAAATCGTTAGAAAAAAAAAAACAATTTTTATCAATATATTATAATATATACGATAATATTGAGAAAACGGCCATTTTAAAAATATTAAAACAAATAAACGAACGAATTATGGTCGGTTAGGTTATGTCCTTATGAAATCTACTATAACAATGTCGTTTTTTTTTTTAAAACATCGTTTACTTTGAACCCGAAATATATTTTGTACAAGATTGCTATATAGAATTATTATATTACATTCTATTCACGAGATTTTATTTTCCGTTCCAGAAGAAAAAATGTTGTTTTAGAAATAATTTCTTTTTTTTCTTTTTTTTTTTTTTTTATACGTGCTACTCCTTAATTCCATTCGACTTAATTTGTTAATCTAAAAACAATGCCATTTTTGTACGTTTATTTTTTTTTTTTTGTTTTTACTTTTCTCTGGTTCAAACATATTGTGTGTATACATTATTATACGCATTTGTATAATGGAAATAATTAAGCTCAACTTTTTAAATTCGTTGCCTTACGATAAAATATCTTTTCAGTCGAAGGTTTTGTGGCCGCAATAAAAAGTTTATTTATGTACTTTCAAAATAATGTATTTTCAAACGAAAGTCAAGTTTAAAAGTTTTTTATTTTTTACATATTGTATTTTAATTAACTGCTCTAAATGTTGCATACTATATTAAAAACAATATTTTATAATATGCGTTAGAATCAAACGGATAGTTGGTTAGACTATTTACAAAATCCACTGCTGTTTAAAATAATGTGAACAATTGAAATATCAAATACTACAGAATTCATTAAAAAATAGATAACATTGTTAAATAATAAAATTTTCGCGTTTTAGAATGGTAATTTAGCAATTCGAATTGAGTTGGCAGTTTACGAAAAAAGACCTTTTGTTTGAATCAGTTGAACAATCGTTATATCTATTATGTATTAATGTGTTATTACGAGGAGAATATAATAATTATCATAACTATCGAATATAAATGACAAACAAATCAATTGTATGCATATGCTTAATTATAGTTAATGGGATAAACTTAATACTATGTTTCGTATCTGAGCAGAGCGATTTCGAACGAGACTCTATAATAAAAACATATCAAGTGAAGGTAGTGAGCAAATTTTTTATTTACCGTTCAGAGTTTTTCGTTATTTGAAAATTAATTCTATTTTAGATTTAGAACCGAACTCGGAATGCGTATTGTGCGTGTGTGTAGGTCTGTAAACGACTTTTCTTTCAGAAATCTTGCTCCGAATCAAAAGTTTGTTAGGAATTTTCTTGTAGTATTTTTGATCTAGTCGGTGCGTCGGGAAGATAATTTTTCAATAATTTTTATAGTTTCCCTAATAAACGGGGTGAAAACTGACTATTTTTTTTTGAATAATATTTTATCGATTTCTGGGTAATATTGACGACGAGGGAAATTTACGATTACTGCAATAATGTTCTGCTCACGATCGTTTATCGTTGCGTACGGATATAAATTAAATTACTCTCTACATGTATCCTATTTTGAACCTACATTCTAAAACAGTGAAACACCGATCGGCATGACTCAGCTTTTTTTTTTTTTTTTGTATATATTATATTCATTAAGCGGCGTATCCTGCAGATCAATCGATACGATAGTAAAACATAATCAAATGGTGCCGGCCGCACAGTGTTTTTATTTTTTAACGGGGTTTCGGTGAAAATTACGGTACACGGTGTCGAAGTTTGCGGCCGACTAACCGTTCGCTCGTTTATGGCGTTTTAAAATATTTACCGTCAAATCGTTATTTAGACGACGATGAACTCGAATAATAGGTATGCGGGTAGTTGTAGGTATGCGTTTAAGGGGCGGTCGCGTTTAATATTAAAATGCAATTGTCGGCTTTCGGACGTACCCTATGGGGTTATTTTTTTTTTTTTCATTACTATGACCCGGAAAATACGTTTTAAACTATCTGATATAATTATATAAAAGGTATCGCCGCCGGCGCAATCATTCAACTATATATTTATATACTATACATAATCGTACACGGTTAGAGGGAAGGGAGTGGGGGGAGGAGAATCCGGGAGTTTTATACTCGGGCCTATTTGGGTCGCGGTTATATTGACGGAAATGAAAATCAGAGTAGTATTATTTTAAACGGATACCGTTTCGAGTTTCTGTGAGGGACTAACTGCCACCATCACCGCCATCTCCGTTTAAGTATGTAAAAAAAAAAACGGTGGTTCTACAACTCAACTGCTGATGGGTGCGCAACTGTTGTATATGGGAAATTGGGAAAATACATTTAAATAATTTAGGCTGTAAGCAACGATAAACTATAACTAATGAAATAATGAAATATACGATTCTCACGAGGTTCAATTATTACAACTACATATTTTTTACAATATTCAGCAAAACTTGATTTTAAAACTCTTATATCCAAAAGATAAAAAACTACTACCCTATACATAACTAAATATTTATTGACCTCTAATAATCACAACTTTTAATAAACCTCGTGTTCAGTTTTCAAACATAGAAATGATTGGGCAAATAATTTATTTTAAAGATAACAGAAAATATTTCGAACACACTACCTTGAATTTGATTTTGGGTATTACCACGTCTAAAAAAAAGCTAATTTATAAATATTAAATATAAATGTCAGCTCTTTACATATTTAAAACAAAAAACCCTAAAGTGGAAATAACGAAATAATTAATGCCGTAAACCATGTGGTGACACTAAGGGTGGGCCTGGCTAGGCTATGGCCCGCCCTATAAACCAGCGGCAGCGCTAAGGTCGGACCTGGGTGGGCTACGGTCCGCCCTATCAACCCGTAACTCACCCGTTGGCACGCCTAGAAATTTGATTTTAACCTAATAATAGTTTGAATTCGACATTTCAAATATCGTAGTATTTCATCGTTACATGTTGGTATGTCACGTATTCGCATATAGTTACGTTTCAATAATATACAAATTCATTAACAAATCATTTTTTAGTAGTGAATACGCTAATATCATAATTAATAATTATGTTTAAAAAAACACTATAAACGACGGGCGGGGGTTATCAGACACCTTAAGAATTTAATTCCTTGTGTGGAGCAAAGAAAACTTATGGTTTTACATAGATGTATATTATTTATTTATTTATTTATTTTTATATTTTTGCGAATTTCTACCAGAAAACTTGCTCCGATTTTTTAGTGTAACATCTTTTCTGAAACGAAATCGGTATGAGAAGTTAGATATTTATCAGTTTTCTCAGGATTTTTATCATCAAACTTGAAAAACCGAAAAAACCAGAGGAAAAACAAAAAAATATAAGAAATGTAGGTATTAATTAAAATATATTACGATTTGTTTAGCCTGCGCACAGCTTTTCTACCAGAAAATTTTCTCTAATTTATAATGATATCAATGTTTCTAAAAGGAAATTTCACTAGGAAGGTACTTTAGAGAAGTAATTTTTCGATTTTCTCAGGAGTTCTCCTAAAAAATGTGAAAAACCAGGATAAAACATGGGAAAACCGGGAAAAACATAGGAAATCTGGCAAAGTCGGTCATTAAACAAATATTATCAAAGAAAATGTACAGAGTTTATTTAATTATTTTACCATTTTATGGCATAAATATTGTTAACAAAGTATCGCTATCAACTAAACTCCTCTCAGAATCGCTTTTTCGTAAGCAATGGTTTATCTTTGCTTACAGGTATACACTGAATTTCCTATAACAGTGGCTGCATCCGTTTTCATTATCCTAGGACGTTTTTTTTATAATAAAAGTTCTCACAAACATAAAATGTCTATATGTTTTGAATATGTCATCTGCACGCCTAGTAAAGACAACTATAAGTTTTTTTTCAAAATTTTAAGTCTGTAAGAATATATTTGATAGAATAACAACGATACAACTAAATAAAAAATATTGAAACTACTATTTCCGTAATCTTTCCGGATTTTTTTACGTTTTTTCACAGTTTTGTACAATTACATAAAACTACGTGAAACGTCATAACAACGAATTTTTTACTCACTGAGTAGATCCGAAATTCAACAAATAGGTCTCTTTTCGTTTTTTGATTGACGTAATATGTCTGGTAAAAAACCACAAATTAAAAAAGACGAATCGGTAACACCACGATGAGCCGTAAATTGTTGATGTTTCCCCCGTAATTTCGTTTTCAGTTTTTCCCCGATTATTTCGAAAACACCTCGGAAATCAAAAGATGACCCCCTTAATGCACCGACTAGATCCAGAATGTCACAAAGTGCTAGTGCGTCTTGTCATTTTTCTGTCGAAGCGAGTTTTTCTTTCAAAAACATATTTACAGGCAGGTGAAAAACACACGCCACGCCCCTCGACGGGCGATTGTAAACTCCGCCAGAACATCGGTTAGATTTTCGGAAAAGGTCTAACGTAAACTCCATCAGTTTTATTTTCTCACCTGTTCCGGGTAACTCCCGAAATTTCTAAAATTGTCAAATGATATTAGTTTAATACGTCGATTAATTTATTGATGTTTAAAAATAGTTTTTATCTTTGTAATATCCGAAAAATCAATATTTCTAATGATAACGCCAGTAGGTATACCTATTATTTTACGAACATCATCATCTGCAGTGTTCTACCGCCCGTGTCCACTAATATCATTCCTTTTTTAGATTCTGATTGGAGCGATGAACGTATTGGTTTTACAATTATGTTTATTAATTTTTTTTTTTTTAGTTTTATTTATTTGTCGGCATATTTATAGGAGTAACTATTATTAATTGTTATTACGACAGTTATGGTTTTTTTTTTCTTTTAATTTTTAATTTTATTAATTTCATTATACTGTTGCCTACGATTTTCTAATCGCCGGCGGAATTCACGTGAACTCGGTTTTACGCGATTGTTTTTCCCGGCGGAGATAACACACGAGAAATATGTAATACTCGTGGTGGAGTAAAACGTCATACGTCCGTCGCGACGTAGTAAAACCGATAGATCCCTCGCTCGTCCGCCCCCGATCCGAAATATAATGTATTTTTTTAAATTTTGTTTTTTTTTTTCACCCGTTATCGTTGTACACCTATTATCGTCGTGTTTCCCGCACTACCTGTTGTACCGAGTCCGACACGGGCCGGCCGCGTCCGGCTGAAAATACATTCGCACGGCGCGCGGTAATTCCCGTGCACGCGCGAAACCGCACGCGATATTATTGTGGCGCCGCCGCCTCCGCCCCGAAACTCGACCCGTTCCGTGCGTTCTCCCCGAGTTTTCCGCCACGCGCGTGGCAAGTGGCGTTAAATCCCCGCCGCCGCCACCACCGTCGTCGACGCGGGCGATTTCTGAAGTGTTGATCGGTCATCGCGTACGCGGGATCGGATTGATTTTTCGCGCGGGCCCGTAATCCGGATTCGGCGAAGGAATAATAAAATACACCTTACAGGTACCCGTATAATAATAAATTATTTTTTACGGGATTCGGAACACGCCTTTTTTTTTTTTTTTTTTTTTGTATTTTGTTCACGCGTGGTCGGAAATAAATCATACCCGCCCGGTATCCGGTTAAAAATGTTTATTTATTAACACATTTGTCTCTCTCTGCGTTATTTCGGACGTCGATTATCGATTTTTCAGTTTTTGTAAACCATGTACTTCTAAAACTGAAATATTATTCGCGGACGTGTCGTCGAATATAACCGTCGCGTTAAATTTGTTTTATCATAAGGTCGCGCCCAGTTTTCAGTTTCAAAAAAACCGACAAATCCATACAGCAATAAAACATTTAAACGGATATCGGACATTAGATTCACCGGGAAAAATAGTAACATTAGGGCGTAGGCCATTAAAAGGTAAAAAATAATTTTCAAACTCTACGAAATCGAAGAAATTCTGGAAATCCGTTTCCGATCCCCGTAACATAATAGTTACGAGGATTGTACATTTTCGATGAGTATACAAAAAATGATGACACGACTGATTTTTAAATTCTATGTGCGGCTATTTGTGGTACTATGATTTGTTTTTTACCTGTGCCTTTGAACGATTTTTCTACCAGAAATCCTGCACCGATCTTCGTGTGTGGCGTCTTTTCCGAAAGAAAATGTTATCTTGTTGGTGCACTTATATCTTAGGAGATTATTTTTTTATTTTCCGAGTAGTTTTATTAAATAATTGAGAAAGCCCGATTAAAAAAACCGCAGGAAAAACGAAAAAAATACACAATAACGGTTTTCGTTAGTTTCGATTTTTTTTTTCTTGTAATTTGATTGAAAGTAAAGACCTGAATACTTATATTAGCACTTTTTAGACGCGGTAATATGTTTGAAGCATTCTGACGTTTTCCGATCTATTTATTAGTAATTCAAATATTCGAATTTTTTTTTTTGTTGAGCGTAGTGAAGTTTTTTTTATAAGCTTTTTAAGTTGAATTCTTAACGAAAATCGTAAAAATCGCGGCTTTTCTACACATCTCTGAGAATAATCAAAATCGTTTTTTTTTTTTTTTGGCAACGATTTATTTAATCGTGCTTAATCAATCTCTATTATGTTCTATCATCTCGACTGGCCACCTACAACAGCGGCACACACACACATAACGCTAGCAATATAATATTTACGTATTTGACGAGCATTTTAAAGTGAAAAAAATTATGAGTAGCGTCGGCAATTAAAAATATTTCGCTATAAACGAGATAAAACAAAACGAATAGAAAGTAACGGAACATTTTTGAAACCACGTATGACCACGTCGCCACAATTTAGTGCATTTGTGCATTTATAATGTGATATATTTATTGAAATAGCTACCCACTGGAGGATTACCCGCCGCGAGAAAGCTCTCGCGGAGTTTGTGATTGTCGGAACGAGTCTTCTTGCTGGTAACCCGTTCGCCAGTCAGGAAAAAATACACGAGCGTCCTAACATGGAAAAAAATAATAGTAAAAATCGAAATCGAAAACGAGCAGTTTGACGATCGCGGACTACGCTGGGCGTGCCGCGACAGCCTGCGGCCGTGAAAATATTACGGCGCCGTCGTGTTTATTTTTTTTTATAAAAAGTTCGGTCGGCGGCGGCGATAATAATTCGTTGAAATCTACGCGCGGATACGATATGTACGGTTAATCAGTGGCGTGTTTGTGACCCGGTTTTTTTTGTATTCCGGGAATGGGGCAGCCGGGTCCGCCTAACCGCCGATATTATAAAAGTCACGTGTCTCGCAGCGAGGGATTATGTAAATCGACCCCGTAAACAGCGGTCGCTTCGGGATTATTCCGTGAAGTTTTGAAGCACCCCTATTCTACAGTGCCTCGGACGAAGTAAAACGAAACGGAACGTATAAAAAAAAAAAAAACAGAGGAATTCAGTACGAAAACGTATCGGGTGCAGTCCGACGAGTCCGACGAGTCGGGCTCGCCGGCCCGCAAAATACGATCGTCGCGTCCGTCCCGATCCCGGCCGAAAGAAAAACCCGAGTCGGAAACCGGGGTGGGGGGGGCTGTAAAAGCGAGAACTCGGTTACGAATTCATTTGTTTTCCGAAATCGGCGTACGCGCGAAAACACGCGAAATTCCGCCCGAATAACAATTTTGTGTTCCCGGTCCCGGTGCGGTCGGCGTTACGCACGTGTGCGTATCCGCCGGGCACGCGACGGTTCCCGGCCGGTGACGACGACGACGGCAACGACGACGCGACGACGGCGACGGTATTATCGATGCGTCTCCGCGCGTGGCGGCGGTGGCGAGGACGGCCGCGACTGCCGCTGCCCGTCCCGAGTTTCGCCGTCCGGACGTGTGCCGCGGAACACGCGACGCCGTTTTGCGAGTACAAAAAAAAAAAAAAAAAAAAAAGGAATAATTATGTTTATTATTGACGACACGCACACGGTCGTCCGGCTTACGCCTTCGGGAACGGGGATCGGTTCGGACGGTTAATAAGTATTGTTATTGAACGACCGCGGCGGTACTTACCGGGTTCACGAATTTGTCGGCACGGACTCCGGCGATACTGCTACGGCTGCTGCTGCTGCTCCTCCTCCTCCTTAAAAAGTCTATTAAAAAGTCTTCGGACCAAACTATTACTCAATGTATCGAACACGTCGCGTATTGCCCGCACGACTCGCGGAACCCGCACTATATTATACGGGCGCCCAAACTTCTCTCGGTCGGTTACCGTGCCGCGGATTTCGGGTCGTCTCTAGAACACGTACAGGCGTATCGTATGCGAAACGCGAATATTGCCAACGGCGCTTTTGTGTCTCTCTCCCTTGTCCCTGCACCAGGTATATGTACCCAAGTGTACAGTGTGCGTACAGCGAAAATCCCGTCCGCGGTTGCCGACGACGTCACGGCATACGCGATCTGGGAACACTACGGAGACGACGATGGCGGTTCGGGAGCGGCGGCGGCGGCGTCACAGTCGGCGACGGCGGCGGTGGCGGTGTCGGCTCTTCCCGGTCATCCCTTTCGTTTCCAGGACCGGCCGGGAGTGGTGGACCCGTTGCGCGCGCACCGCGACACGACAACGCCACCGCCACCGCCGCCATAGAGTCTCTCTCCCCCCCTCCAACCACCACCCCCCCCGCCCACCGGTTTCAGAACCCACAACCGCGGCGGTGCTGATGCAGTTCGTGTCTATATTTTTTAACCGTTTTTCCTCTTTTTCTTTCACTGTTCGCACACTAAACACACATACACTTAAGCTTGCGCTCGGGGTACAGTCAGAATAAAGTAGCCGCGGCCGTATGGGTGGGTACTGATTTTTCGTAAAATCCGACTGTTAACGAGATTTTGTTCCGATCGTAAACGGCATGTGTTGGACAATTTTTTTTTTATTGAGTTGATTGTTAACGATTTCTCGTAATTTCATATGATAGAGGACAAAGTAGAATGAAAAATTTAAAAAAAAAAATGTATTTTTAACATTTTTTTTTAGTAAACAAGTATTTTCAGACCATAATTTGATCTTTTTCACCCCGTAAAAGGCAATAAAATACCAACAAAAAAGGACCGAATAGAATATTCATAATTTTGGTTTTAAAATTAAATCTTTCTTCAATTTCTGACTCGGTATAGTTTATATTTCCAAATTTAGGTGCTATAACACACACCCACACGCCCATCCGACCATAATAGATTTAGAGCGGACGCACAATGGTCCAAAAAATGAAAACACCGCCTTTTTTTTTGATAAAACGTGTAATTTTGTGTCACATTAATAGTTCAAAAAAAAAAAAAAATTAATTTTAAAACATTTTTAAGCAGTTTAGATACCTCTAAACGACAAAAATTTAATTTGGTACCAAGTTATTCATGTAGGTAGTCAAATTTTATGTATTTTTTTATAAAAAAAAAAACGTGTTTTATATTACCAAGTTGATATTGTTAACACATTTTTTTTTATAAGTCATTTTATATGAAAAAAATCTAGAAAATTGTAGTTTTTTTTATCATTTTATTTGGTTTACGTAGCTGACTGATCGTCAAAAATATATAAAATATAATATTTATTATCTGTAAGGAAAAAAAAATTTGTTACCTTTGGGCATTTTAAAAACACAAATGATTATCGTTGCGTTTATTAGATGATTTTATTTTATTTACTGTGACACAATATTTATAAAACAGTTGCAAATATAATACAATTTATATAATACATATTTTTGTTTTTTATTTTTAAAACTATTATTGACCTTAATGTTTGAAAACCACTTATTACAATACATTACAATACACATAGAACTTCCCTTTACATAAATATATACAATAAATTATTAAATAGTGTCCACCAGTTGTTTAATATCAGATCTCGGTCTTTTATCAAATTAGGTGTTAAAACCGTGTCCGTCATGTTGGCGACGGCACATTATACTCTACAACTAGTATCAATATTTTGCTAGGAATTTTCTAGATTTTGCTAGAGCATTTTCGGATTTTACACCCCTATTTTCGACGTTTATGGAGGTCTAAACTGCTTAAAAATGTTTTAAAATTAAATTTTTTGTTGAATTATTAATGTGACACAAAATTACACGTTTTATCAAAAAATGCCGATTTTTTTTTAATTTTTGGACCACTCTAGGATGGTTTCTTAAATTGTATAAAAAATGCAAATTCCGCAAAAGTCAATATTTTTTTGACATACGTATTGGGCGTTTGACTTTGCGTTGGTCGTCTCTTGCATTATAATATCTGTACTTAAACTGTATTGTTACGTTTCTAAAAATGGACAAAACGTTTTAGATTTTTTTTTAAAACGTACCGAACGGTAGATTTTTCCCGTTTACGTCCGATCGCCCGACCCTCCTATTTGCTCTGTGCTAACGGCGACGGCACCGGGTCGAAGCGAAACTAGAACGCATTTTAAGTTATTTATGCCAACATTAAAATAAAATATACACATAAGTACTGTCGGTTCATAAGTTCGAGTGCATCGCACTGTGCATTCTTCGCGGAATATATTATAAATCTTCAGTCCAGTAATATTATTTTCTGCTCGGAAAATCATAGTCGAATATCGATTCGCACGAAGACGCGCCGTGGAAAATTATTCGTCTGGCCCAACAGTGCCCGACCGGTGGTCCACGGGCCAGTTCATACGGGTGGTTAGACGATTCAAAGATATTTATTTACTTAAATTTTTTTTTTTTTTTTACTCGATAAATCTAGAAAAAAGAAATCCAGTGTAGCGTAAGATTACACACTAAGTGAGAGCATTGCCCGTTTACGCCAAAAAAAAAAAAAAAAGTAATTCGTCTTCGATACAGCCAATCTACACCAAAATGAAAAAGGTACGGTTTTTCCCGACAGCCCATTTGCGCCGAATTTACTTACGTATATACATTTCGTGCAATAATTGTACATGATGATAGTAATAATTTTGTTGCATTCATAATCTTAACACTACAATAGTTAATAGTTATAGGATAACGAGTAATAATAGTTAATAAAGTAAAAATATGATTAGAAATCATAATAAATGAATAGATATTTTTAGTTTGTCGTTTATCATTTTAAAAAAATCGTCATTTTTAGAAGTAGTCGAGTAGATATAATTTTATGCCTTATGAATATCGGAAGAACATTTAGGATTTGAAGAAAGAGGATTTTTTTTTTTACGAAAATGGCAAGTACTTTTTCGTAACGCGGTTACATCGGGTACAGTAAAATTGTATTATAACGAATGTCGTGTCTTTAAACCGTGAATTATTATACGCGATAAAAATTGACTCAAATAAGCTGTTGGAAAAACGTACCTTTTTCATTTTGACGCGGATGAGCTGTTCCTAAAACGAATTGTTTTGATGGCAATTGAGTGATTCCCCAAAGCAATAGCACGCAATTATTTTCTATACAACATGTTATTGATGTGAACAAGGAATTTCAAGTATGCTCATATAATACAAATCACCATAGAAATTGTTCGAACACATGTGACGATATGCGTGTATTACCTTGAGCAACATATCCGTCCCTGAATTTTCAAACCTGTTCAAAAGTATCAAATTTGTAATTCTGGTAAATCTTATAAAAAAGTGATAGTGTGTAAACCAAAATAAACGAAAAATTCTCCCTTAAATCAAAGTAGCCCGTGACCAATCGGAATTTTTCTAAATGGTCGGCACTGTCAAAAAGGTCGGGAAACATTAGTCTTTTTAACAGACCCCATTACAATGGAAACATTTCTCATTTAACATGTCCGGCGCCGAGCGTTTAAAGAGTTGTGTGCGGGTAGTTTTAACGGAATTTTTTAAAGTAATGAACATTTATCAATTCGAAAATATTTTTCAATTCACTTTTCAATAAACCCGTGTGCCATTATATTAATATTTGTCTCGCTCGCAAAACGAACACAAATTAGCCCCCTTCATTTTTGAGACAAGAAAATAAATAAACGAAAAATTATCCAAGGTAACTTTCATTATATGAGTTTTACATTACCTAAAATCAAATATTAGTCTCGATATCGTGAATGTAAAAATTCATTTTTTTTTTCTTAATTTGTTTACTTAATTTTTGTGATTTATAATTATAAAAAAAAAAAAAAATACTTTATGAAATGTTTTTCTTCGAAACATTTTCTTCTACGTTTATCATAACGTCATGCGGCTTTGTCTCTGAAAATCTTTTAAAAATGTATTTTTGTCTATTTCACTTAAACGTATTGTTTTTACCGATACAAATCATCGATAGGATTTTGTTTTTCATTCTACGAAAAAAATAAAAATAAAAATAAACACACATATATTATAGTGACAGTTTATAAACGAACGCGTTAGAAGCTCAGTAGTAAATGAATAATTAAATTTTGTTTTCACGGTCGTAAAATTATTGATGTTCTCCCCTTATATGCGGAAAATGTGACACATTTCTATCTATTATACGACTCAACAGAAGATACATGCTCGACGTGAAAAGAGGATAAAACGCAGAAAAAAAAAAAAAATTAAATTAAGAAAATTCCTTTAGGAATAAGAATATTGTATGTATAGGTACGAGAGATAATAACGGACGATTTATACTTCTTGTGATTTTTTTTTCCCCCGCCATTAAATAAATATTATACGCTGATGATCGTTAGAAAGTAATTCAATATAAAGCGTTTAATTATTTTTATCGACGGTGGGGGGAGGGAAATGAATGCCGAAACAAAAAGTATTTAAATACCATGCGACGGTGGCGTTTAAAAGAAATTGCACGATGATACACTTTTTTTTTTTTTTTATTGGCACGTTAACGATTCGAAAAGCAGCGGTGCATAGTATTATTATTTTAAATACGCGCATCGGTTATTTCGTAATAACCCGCGAAATTGTGTATATAATTATTTTACGTGGATTTAAAAATAAAAACGAAAGTTTTCACGTCAAACGACTCATTATTATTGTTCATTCAAGAAAGAGTTTTTTGAAAGCATACTGCACGTGTTTGAAACATAAACAGCGGTTATAGTGGAGGGACGTAGGTGTATTATTTAATTATTATACAAAATGCACGTGACGATTCAAAAGATAAAATTATATAGGAATACGAAATCAAATTTAGTATCATCTCAACCGACGTTGTCGAAAAATCGTATATGGCCGTTGCCTATAATGTGTTTGGTTCAACTCGAATAACGACTCCGACAATTATGAGATTTTGCGCATCGATTAAAGTGAGAAGGACTTCGGAGAGGGAATAGATTTCCCGTGAATTGAGGGGCGTTCTTGAGAATCGACTTAACCCATCCGAACCTTCGAGAAACCCATCATTGGGACAAGAACTCCGAAATGATTTTCTTCTCGCACACGTTCGATCATACGAATGGTAACTATATAAATAGCCAAAGAGGGCTTAAAATTAAACCGCACTCCCTCACCCTAAAAATATCGTCTCACGTACATGCCTGCCAAGTGAATAATAAAAAGAAAAAAAAATTTAAAAAACAGATTCGAATTACGTTAGTTTATTATTGATCGTATTAAAGTATTCAACAAAACTAGTTCGAATTTTCAAAACTTATCGGAAACAATAGCTAAAGCTGATAGGCCGATATGGGCATTGTAC